ATTTAGGATAAAGAAAATAGTTTAATATAAAGCAAAGTTTAGGACTTAGAAAAAAAATACGTCTTAGAGTCTAAAAACGATAAAAATAATAAAGTACGTGTTATAGAAGAAATTTTAATAATCGAAATTATTTAATTTTTGAAATTGATGATAAATTATTAATTTAATAAAATATTAATTTTAGTCAAACATTTACAACTCTAATATTAATCAAAACAGGATCTATTCTATAGATATAATAGAACAGAAAGAGAAAAAACTTTATAATTGTTTAATTTTTTTTTCCGGTAAAAGTGATGTCTTATTATGTAAATTAGAAAAAACAGGAATCTGTTCCATTAAAGCAAGCTTTTAGGAAGTGAATAAAATGAAAACTACATTTATTTAACTCGTTACTGTCTTTATTATAGAGTAAGTATAATAATGGTAATGGTGACTATACTTTATTCAATGGAAATATGCACCAAATTCAAACAAATATAAAAGGCATGAGTATAAACAGTATTACTACAGTAATATTGAACATTGGTTCAAAAATATTACATTAATATAATACAATATTACTGTAGGTATTACTGTCAACGTGCAAGCTTGTTTGAAGCTTGATGTATTTGTATGCGCTTGGTACATCTTGGCGTTGGAAAATGTATAGAAAATTATTAAGAAAAACTAGTACGTAATGGGGGATATCTTGATATACAGAGTGGTCGGAATTGTATTCAGGAAACTTTGGCAGCATAATCTGCAAATAAAATCAGTAAAAAAAATAGTATAAATTTATGTCCTAAAATGCTTCGTTTCAGAGATACAGAGTGTAGAAATTTCATTTTTATTTCGCTTTTTTCCAAATAATTTATGAAGAATGTATTGATTAATTCGTTTCCAAATATCTTGAGAACTATACTTGTGGCGAGTGTCAACAAGAGACCTTATTAAGTAAAAAACGTTGGAAATGTAAATTTTTCTCAGTAGTTTTATATAGATACAGACAAAAAGTATTACTCTTCAAATAACTTAAAAAATATGTAGGTGGCGCCCCCTATTAGTAAAAGTCAAATTGACATCTAAATCTAATTTTTCATGTCAAAAAACTCCCAAACGCCAATTTTCGTCCAAATATTGACGTCACTTCAGAAATTATTTGGAAAAAAATCGAAATAAAAATGAAACTTCTACACCCTGTATCTCCGAAACGAAGCATTTTAAAAACTTACAAGTTCATTTTTTTAGAAAGCCAATGCAACATTTCTGAGTTTCAAATAAAGATAAAAAACAGTAAAACATATAATAATAATATGTAAATTATTTTCTTGGATACATACATATATGGCAAATAATAACAGATTGTTTTATTAAAGATTTACGTTTTGGTTAATTCTAAAACTATCTTCAGATTATATGTGATATTACTTAAGTGATATTACATTATAAAAGAAAAAATGAAAATTATACCTTATAATCGAAAAAAAACGGCGTCAGCGATGGCTATGAAATGAAGATCGCTGTCATTTTATATGTAAAATTATATGGAGTATGTATCGATGGTTTTTTCCAAGCCAACTGGACGCCGTTTTTTTCGATCATACGGTATTACAAATTAATAATAGATTAACAGTCGAGAAAAAAAAAGAAAAAACTCTAGGTAAGTACTGGATAAATTTTAAAATGGCATATTTATTTTATCTTTGTTTAATATAAAAAAAACGAAATATCTACCTGGTTTACATAACCCTGTATAATTTGTGAAATAATAATGGACAAAAATGCAAGCGGTAAGAAAAATATTTACAAAAAATATGTACTTGTTTACATTTCTGGACCATTGTTCGTCATTTTTGTTATCATAATGGTGACCCTATCATAAAAACGTAGTTATTTCTATACCTGATGTGAAACTATAGGGAAAAAGTAATGTTTGTAAAATATTTTAGTCTTGAAAAAAAATAAGGAATGTTTGGTATTTTAAAATGTTTGGTAGCTTGTAATTTTTTCGACTTTCTCGATTGTTTATAGTTTATAATAAGCCTTAAAAATTGTTGTTTCATAATGGAATATCATTCTGGAATTCCTGTATGTTATTTTAGATTCTAAGGATGGTTTTAGAATAAAAAGAAACACATTTTTCATAAAAAAAAGCATTAAATTAACCAATGCCCAAGAAAATAATGTGTCTACTTCTTATGTACTTAATAATGTATCTACTCGTTATATTAATAACGAGGTTAGTAAGAACCTTTACGTAAATGATAAATATAAAAAATACAGATTTTCCAGGGTTTATAATTTACTAAATTATTATCTAAATAAGCGCCTTTCTACAACGCCACTGACGCCAAAATAGTAAATTTGACTTACCTGTGGAATGTTGTTCCAGGACTTAAATAGTCCAATTTCTTACAAATTTGGCACTGACGAACCATGTTTTATAGTTTTTAAATAAAAAGTAATCAAAATAAACACTAAACCGACACTACACACTAAGAAAATCGAATCCAAAAAATACAAAATCAAAACATCCAATAAAAACAATAAAATAGCCATGGAGAAACTGTGACAACAAGGTTTTACGACACGTGCTTTACTCTACTATGGCTCTACTACGAGAGAATAAAGAATGAACAGGCGACCCGGCGATTGATGGGTGTTGCCAAATTGTAAAGAATTTGTCATTTTTAAATAGTCTCCGACTTATAATTTAGTAGTATAGGGACTATTTAATACATCTTTCTACTATTAAACACTACTTTATTAAAATACAGTTTTAATATCTCAATATATGTGTATAACAACAAAAAAAATATTAATAATATTTTAGACGTGACAACATAGGCTGGAGGCGAAAGACTCAGACGGCCGATGTCAGCTGCACCCAGGAGTAAACATGTTTACAAAAATTAATATTGGACCGCGCTTAAATGTAAATAGTGTAGTCTATATTTTATTCTAAGTCTATGGTGTGAACAAACCCCTTCATGCGAACATACAGCAAAATTAAAATTTATCTGCAAGACCTGCATCAGACTAATAATGACATATGGCATTGAAATCCGAGAGGAAACAAACAAAATCAAAAGCATGTTAAGAGTCGCTGAAATGAAGAACCTAAGAACCATAATGGGGAAGACTAGAAGAGACAGAATTAGAAACACAAATATCACACAACAATGTGGAATAGAGCACGTAGTGAGATGGGGTAGGCAAAGAAAAAGACAATGTTTCGCACACGTAAAACGCATGGAAGAAAACAGACTACTACGCATAACACTTGAAGGGTAAGAGACATCCGGGAAGACCTCCAAAAAGATGGAAAGAAACACCATCTACCAAGAACTCCTACAGAGGCAAACTTAAAACTAAGAGAATGACTAGATCTCAAATACGGAGAAGAAGAAGATATTTATGTTATTATAGTTCTGTATCAGTCTAAACTTTTCTTTAAAAGTATACTACGTTTTATATTATACCAGTATTTATGTTTCGTATATATCAAAATTAGAAAGAATAATATTATATATCGCTACACAAGTAACTTATTCCAACAGGTAATGTTACTCCATGCGAAGGCATTACCTCCTAGGGCATGCAGGCAGTCTATTCCAGGTCAAAAAGGCCGCCCGAACGTATCGAATTATACGCACTGTGATAATCCGATTTAACGGCCATTTTCTCGTAATTTCTCTCTTCTTTGAAATCAACGGCATCTGGCCGCCAATAAAAATGCCCCTCGTATTGTGCTTCGACATTTTTTTTGTGAGTGTATCACCTTTCACAGTCACGAGAAAAAAATTGTTAAGAAAATGAAATAAGTGGTAAACAAAAAATGCAGTATGTTGTATTAAGATTATTTGCCGTTTTTTTTAAATTTTAGCGTTATTACAATCTTTGTTATGACCGCTGTCCCACGAGTGTTGACTAGTGATGTTAGTGGCGAATATTTCCATTCGAATTTTGCAGGAAATTTCAGAAATTTCCGAAATATTCGGTCCCAAAATCGCGAATATTCGCAAAAATCCGAATTTTGCAAGAAATTTCTTTTCAAAATTCAAGACATTGAGCAAAAATTTAACGAAAGTGTATCAAGTACAACAATCAAACAAATTGTTGATGTATTGCATATGTATTTAATATCTACCGCTAAAAAAGCTCTTCGAATTTTCTTTTCTTTTGTGTACCAGCATCTGTATTCGCGAGAAGAATTTCTGTGAAAATGAAATAAACAGATGATACAAAAGCGTGTACTGTATTGTATTACATTTTATTTGCAAGTGCATTGGATTCTGGGAAATCGACTTTGTAGAAATGAAAATTGGCTGGTTTAGTTTATATGGAAAAATATTTGTTATATGTATGGTTAAATAAACAAAAATAATTGAGAAAATTAATGTTAAAAAGACAAATATATTGAACAGACAAAAAATATTGAACTTTAAATTACATGAAAATTTTAAGTTTCGTACCGGTCAGTGTATCGTTATAACAGAACAGAAAACATAGACTATAACAGAATATCTTTACCTTCTAAGAATATACAGGGTGTCCCAGAAATAAGTGCAAGTATTTTAAGGGGTGGTAGATCTCGATAAAAGAAACATATTTTCTTTTTATCGTTTTTCAAATAAGACCGAAATAACGGAGTTATTTTACTTTGAAATTTTCCAAAAAAAAATATTTTTTGCTAATATTTTGAGAGCCACTGGATCTTTTCTGGATTTTCTTTCTTGTAAATTTAATCTAATACCTATGTTGCCATATTATCAAGAAATTATGTTTTTTTCACTAAAAACTAAAAAAAATCCAAAAAATTTCGAATTTTCAAAATTTTTTTTTCGCGAAAAAAACCTCATGGGCGTGTTTCTAGGGTTGAACTATACTACCAGTTAAAATACTTGCACTTACTTCTGGAACACCCTGTATTTTTATAGTATTAAATTGTTATTGTCTTACACCTGGTCATGATTTACAAGTGAATTCAATGAATTAACCTCAAATTTTTGTTTCAGATTATCTCGCTGTGGCTAAGCATATGTGCCACGATGCAATACGTAGATAGCTCTTCACCTACCACCCTAAACCAGCCCATCTACACAAACTCAATACAGAGGGTCGTCACTAACAGGACGAGTTTGAATACAGACATCAAACCATTGAAGAAGGTGTTTCTCTCTAACAGAGCTGTTACGTGTAATGACGGATCACAGGCAGGGTAGGTTACACCATATGGAATATAATATTACCTGACTTTATGAGTATTTAAAGCCTTAAGCTTCATTCAGATCCTCGCAATTAGTGGTTACAATTACACTTTATACCTAATAGTTTACGATCATTCACAATGTTTAAAAAAACAATTAAAATTAATAGAATGTTTGTTAAAACAGCTTGCGTTAGTTGTTTCCATAGAGAAAGCCTAATATTTAGCTTATAAAACAATCAACTTTTGATTTCTAACCACAATTGTGGTGTGTTGGTGGCTGCATTATTAACAAATTCCAGGCAGTTCCATTTTAACAAATTCTGCTAGCCAAAGTAGGGAGCTCGAAGAGCTGCCCTGTTCTTGCTACAACCGAAAGCAAGACAGCTCCAAATAATGTTGCCATGTATGTATTGTTGAATGGAGATACCTGATTGTTGCAAAGAACGATCGGACTATTTTTTAAAGGGCAATTCTGTAAATATCTCATTTTCGTAAAAAAGCGGAGCTGCCTAGTTATTGCAGCCACCCTTTCTGGAAGATAAGCAAAGGCCAAAATGACATTTCTCTCAAATTTTGAATAATAATTAGAGGAAAAGTTAAAAGTTTGATAACTATTTCTACTAATTGAAAATGTCTACCACTAATTTTGGCGTTCTGAATGCTTACATTGAAATTGAAGGAACAAACTTCTACGCTAATTGAAACCACTAATCATCAAAATTCTAAAGTCAAACAAACTTCAAATTATGAATTTTAGTTAGCGTTTTGCCTATAAAAGAAGGAAAAAATGAAAAATTCCGAAATTTGTTTATACATAAAATTAAAAATAATGATTCTTAAAGGTTAAACTTCTAGCTGCTATCGGTAACTGTCTTGGTTTCAACTTTTTTAGAAGGTTTTTCTATTTTTTAAATTTTACAACTTGGAATGTTTTGTCTCACGTCAAATTTTGAGTCAGCTGCTGTTTTAATCGTAATATACTTTTACGATTTTCGTTATAATTATTCGTTTGATCATTGAAAGGCTGATTTTTTCATTTACTGATATTATTAATGTATATAAAATTAAGGGATCAAAAAGATCATGACCTCAGTGATGACAACAAGAAATGAGATCCCACCAAAAATATAAAATGTAAAAAAATACCTAATCTTACAGAAACCGGAAAGAGCGTGGCAAGTTTCATAACCTTTACGAAAATTTGTTGTCCCTTCATCTCATAACTTATCTAAAATGTACCGGTTATGGTGGTTACTATCTTTTTGGTCCCATAAAATTGTTCTTACAAACACTAAATCTATTAATTTTTGGGAATCCATCGTTTTCTACAGCGCGACAGCACAGCTTACAGAATAAGCTGTGGCGACAGAGCGACGAAAACAAAATTATTTGAATCGATCTAGCCGCTCGTTCTAACCGCTCGAGCAGATCGCTTTACTATGTTCACACGTACTTGTCTTCACTGCTTGCTCGCCGCTATCCTCGTCGCTTCACTATGTTCTTAGCCTAACGAAACGACTGTAACGGGAGCATCAACTCCAACAGCGACCGACCAGAGCGCCACAAACGAAAACTCGACCCTCCGAGCGCTCCAGCAGTCGCGCGACCACTGGCACTGGAGCGAAATACGGCACGGTATTAGGTCGGTACCAGTTACATCTCTTCGCGACAGACGAAGCGCTCGAGATCGCGCAACGCTATGCACTTACCAATCCCAGTTAAACTGTTCGTGACCGACGAAATCGCGAGCCTAGGAGCGCGATGGCTGGAGCGAAACACAGCGCTATGCGATTATTGCGGTTCGAACTAACTCCAAGAGCAATAATTATAAATAAGTTATTTGTATTAAATAATTTAGTTTCGTCGTAATTATGATCATCGTTCTTCAGTAACAGGTTCCTGTTTCGTTGTGGAGCGCGACATGTCGTTCCAAAAAAATACCGCTCCAAAATCGCGTTACTCAATTACCGACATCACTAGTTCGCAGTGTTCAAATAAAAAATAATATAACGCCCATGGACAAAAATACGAAAATCCAAATTTAAATTCGAATTTAAAAAATGTGTTGTTTTAGCAGTAAAATATCCGTACTAATTAAAAAAAGCAAAAAATTACCAAAAATGCCTTCAGATCACAAAAATGTGTTTATATTTCTATAAAAAAATTACTCGATAAAGCATAAAATACGCCCTTAAAATCTGTGTACTCAATTTGGAATCACCCTGTATTTTTTTTGTTTTATATTAGTTTTATTTATATTATTATTATTTTTGTAATTCTTAAATTTCATTTAAAATTTATCCATTGCGTTATTATAAAAAATGTTTGTTTATTTATATTTTGTACCAAAATGAATTAAAAAGACTGATTTGAAAGCTCTAGAATTTTTGTCCCAAAATTACCATTTTCGCAACACTGTGTGCAAGAACTCTCAACTACATATTTTCCTGTATTTTCTCGCGTTATTTCCACATTTCCAATTCAACAATGAAGTATTTTTATTAGAAAATGCATTATGTATAAACACGTTTCACAAACAGCGGTAATTCCACTTCACAGAATCAAAAAATCCAAATTTCTCTGCAACAACATTCCCGCGAGCCCATAATCTTCCGTCACTTTTACATTCCTGAAAAATCTACGACGAAAAACAATTAGGTAGAAAAGCAATTATTTTAATCAAACGCCTTTTGAGCGTCACGCACCAACTTCTTTTAAGGTATAATTATTATAGGCGATCGAAATTATATGTCTAGATACGAGATATTATTATATTAGCCTACTTTTAGATATTATTTTTGTAACGGTTGTTTCAAAGGAATGCGCTTATTGTCTTCTAGGAATTACGTCAACTAATGTTAGGTTTCAATAAGTTTAATTATATTAGTGTTAAAGTGTTATCAATTTTTCTTGTAAGAATAATAATATCAAATATTTTGTAATATTATTTGTAGATGGTGAAAAAAGATTGAATCTATTATATGACTTATACCTATTTGAGTCTTTTGTGAAGACTCAAATACGACTAAGGGATTCTGATTTATAGATCATCCTGAGATTCCAATATTTTTATGAATATCATATTGTTTTAGTCGAATATCAATAGACAGGGTTAAAGATGAAATAATTTTCCCTCGGCTTATTGTTTTGGTTTTAATTCGTATTTTTTCAGTTTGTATGTGGAGGACATTAACATCGTGAATAGTTGATAAGAATCCTCTGTCACAGCAATCTGTCTCAATAATAAATGAGATTCTATAAGTTGTTCATATCCAATTTTTTATGAATACTATCAAACTATAACTTTTTTATGAAATTATGAATTTTTATGAATTAAGAAAATTGAACCAATTGGAAGATCCATATACAGGGTGTTTCAAAACAAATGCGAAAAACTTCAGGGGGTGATTCCTTGTTCAAAATAAAGCGTAGTTTGCTTCATAAACGTTGGGTCAAAAGTCAACCATTAGGGAGATATCGCGGTACAAAGATGGCGGAAAAATAATGTTCTTATTTTTTATCTTGAAAACGAAAAGAGATAGACTAATGAAATTTTATGGAAGCATTACTGTTATGGAAACACACTTTCTGGTAATTTTTTCACTTTTTTAAAATGAGTGGAAGGGGTTGAAATAAACTACCCCTATCATTCTTGTTAACGAAATTTAAAGAAAAATCTTATCAAATACATGCAAAAAAATTAATTTGGATAGTTTAGTTTGTTTAGAAACTTTTTTATCTCTTGTATTTTTTTTATAAAACTCACCAATTTGAAATTAAAAAATAAAATGTAAAGCATTACATGTCAGGACTAAAAATATTTTTAGATTAAGAATCTAGTGATAATAATGATAATAATAATAATCTAGATAATAACGTATTGCAGTAGGGTAATGTCAAATAAAACAATATTAGAAACATCCTAAAAAGTGACAGCGGCCGACTAGATTTTTTCCTAAAGAAATTACAGCTGCCCACTAGATTCTTTATCTAAAAATGTTTTTTGTCCTGACATGTAATGCTTTACATTTTATTTTTTAATTTCAAATCAGTGAGTTTTATCAAAAAAACACAAGAGATAAAAAAGTTTCTAAATAAACTAAACTATCCAAATTAATTTTTTTGCATGTGTTTGATAAGATTTTTCTTTAAATTTCGTTAACAAGAATGATAGGGGTAGTTTATTTCAACCCCTTCCACTCATTTTAAAAAAGTGAAAAAATTACCAGAAAGTGTGTTTTCATAACAGTAATGCTTCCGTAAAATTTCATTAGTCTATCTCTTTTCGTTTTCAAGATAAAAAATAAAAACATTATTTTTCCGCCATCTTTGTACCGCGATATCTCCCTAATGGTTGATTTTTGACCCAACGTTTATAAGCAAACTACCCTTTATTTTGAACAAGGAATCACCCCCTGAAGTTTTTCGCATTTGTTTTGAAACACCCTGTATAATATCCATATATCCCAAATAATATATTATTTTTAAGTTTTTTGATTGTGAATTTGAAATCTTAGTGTGCGATCTAATAATATATGCATAATATTAATTGTAGTTATTATAAATAAGTCAACTTCTATAAACTAGTTCCTAAGGCTCTACATAGTCGAAAGGGTTACCACTCTCCCTATTGCACAAATTTATTTTTTGTTCAGTTTTATTTATAGTTCTTTACACTTTCTTCTTGTACTTCCGAATGCAGTTTGTACTCTTTATTGTAAATATTGAGATGTATTGATTTTACTTTTACAAATGACGTCAAGTAATGTCCAACCAATTTTATTCTGGAAATTACACGGGTACTAAAATTATTCTGGAAATAACACGGGTACTCACTCAAATGGTGTAGGAATACTGGTAGATGAGAGCTTAAGCAACTCTGTATGCAATTTTGTGCCAGTGTCAGATAGATGTACGATGATACAAATAGAAGGAACCCCGCTAAACGTGAATATTATCCAGACTTACGCTCCCACTTCAGAAAGTTCAGAAGAGGAATTGGAAAGATGGTACGATGAATTGGAACAAGTATACAAGTTAACCAAACAACATGACATTAATATAATTATGGGCGACATGAACGCAAAGGTTGGCGAAGGACCAATAAATAACATTGTTGGAAAATACGGGCTAGGAGTGAGAAAAGAGCGTGGAGAAAGATTGATAGAATTTTGTCAAGACCACAACATGACAATTACAAACACTCTATTTAAGTTGCCTAAAGGAAGATTATATACCTGGAGATCCCCTCAAGACAATGGCATAAGAATAGTTCGGAACCAGATAGATTTCATTTTAATAAACCAGCGATTTAAATCATCTGTTAAAAGCGCAAAGACGTTTCCAGGCGCAGATATTAATTCCGATCATAATCCTGTTGTTGCAAATATAAGACTAAAATTAAAATTTACTGGAAAAAAACATTCATATAAAAAATAGACATCAAGATGTTGAAAAACGAAGACGTAAAAACAGAGTAGCCCAAGAAGTTAATGATGCTTTTCAGGAAGTGAGAAACAGCGAAGAAGATATAAACACTACCTGGAACGCATTAAAAACACCCTTAGTTAAAGCCACACAAACACATTTAACTGGCCTAAAAACAAAGAAGAAACAATGGATGACGGACGAAATTCTCCAACTTATGGACCAGCGCAGAGAACACAGGTCGAGATGCTATAGCGTAAAAACGTTGCAATAAGGAAATTAATAAAGCAATAATCACAGCTAAAGAAAAGTGGATTTCAGAGAAGTGCGTGGAATTAGAGGACTTACAAAAGAAACACGACTCATTTACATTACACAAAAAAGTAAAAGATTTAACTGGACCAGCACAACGTTTTTGTCCTCTAACAATTATTAACTCAGATGGTACACTGTGTTCAACCGTACAAGAAAAAATACAAGTATGGGAACAACACATGAAAGAACTTTATAATGACTATAGAGAAGAACCAACAGTAAGACCAACGGTTGATCAGGGACCAGAAATTCTCATTAGTGAAGTATTGCAGGCAATTAAACAACTTAAAAACAACAAAAGTCCAGGCCCTGACAATATATATCCAGAAATACTTAAATTAATATCAAAAGAGAACGTAGATATACTGACTAGGCTTTTTAACAAGATCTATGGTAGAGGAAAAGTACCTGATGACTGGCTCCACTCAACTTTTGTACCGCTTCCGAAAAAACCATCAGCTCGACATCTCAGTGACTACAGACTTATTAGTTTAATGAGTCACGCACTGAAAGTGTTACTTAAAATAATACATAACAGAATTTATAAGAAGTGTGAGCAAGAAAGCGGCTATGAACAGTTTGGGTTTAAGAGTGGATTGGGAACACGAGAGGCCTTATTCTGTTTACAATTGATGGCGCAGAAGTGTACAGACCAACAAAAACCAATGTATGTGTGTTTCGTAGATTTCGAAAAGGCATTCGATAGAGTCAAACATACGAGACTTATCGAAATGTTGTATGAGTTGGGAGTTGACAGCAAAGACACTTCTGAAAAATATATATTGGCAACAAACAGCCCACATTAAAATTGAAAATGACAATTCCAATCCAGTCAATATACAGAGAGGAGTAAGACAGGGATGTGTGCTGTCTCCTTCGTTATTTAATGTTTATTCTGAGGCGATTTTTCGGGAAGCTTTCTCTTCAACAGATTGCGGTAGTAAAGTCAACGGCGAAGTCATTAACAACATTAGATTTGCCGATGACACAGTTCTTATTGCCGATTCTGATACTGGTCTCCAGAGTTTAGTGGAACGACTTGAAGGCTCCTGTAAGAAATACGGGATGAAGATCAATTTTCTTAAAACTAAAGTCATGATACTTGGAAAGAACCAAAATGTACCAATTCCTATTAAAATAGAGGGCAATGCCTTAGAACAGGTCTACAAGTTCAAATATTTGGGGTCGTGGATAGTTAACACCTTGAACAACGACGTGGAAATAAAAACCAGAATAGAACAAGCGAGAAATGCATTTTTAAAAATGAAGAACGTCTTCCAGAACCCCAGACCAATCTGGGGTTCTGGAAGACGTTCTTCATTTTTCTGGAACCCCAGACCAATCTAGGTCCAAACCTAGAGTTGAGAACTAGGCTCGTTAAGTGTTATGTTTGGTCAATCCTATTATACGGAGCAGAAACATGGACACTTAAAGTTCAAGAGATGAATCGCCTCGAATTGTTCGAAACATGGATATATCGAAGAATGCTTAAAATTCCATGGACAGCCCATATCACAAATACCGAAGTCTACAACAGAATAGGCAGAGAGAGAGAATTGCTCAATATAATAAAAATAAGAAAAACATCATATTTAGGGCATATATTGAGAAATGAAAAATACCACGTCTTACAATTGATAGTTAAGGGTAAGATTGAAGGAAAGGGAGGTCTTGGCAGGAAGAAACTATCTTGGTTGAGAAACATCAGAAACTGGACTCACCTAACTTTTGAAGAACTTATAAGGAAAGCCGAGAATCGTGAAGATTTTGCCAATGTGATCGCCAACCTCCACGAAAGAGACGGCACGTAAAGAAGAAGAAGAATGTCCAACCCCGCCTCTTGGCGACAGGTCCAGGAACCTCGATAGCCATTATACTGCTCTACCATTTCCAATCCATCTTCCGTGGAAATAATTTGATTGTTTATATTATATTATATTTATATTATTTTTTATTACTTTATTGGATTTGATTTTTCGTATTCGATGTTTTATCCCACTTAGATTAAACATTAAAAAACAGAGCCGGACTTGAAATGAAATTTCTACACCCTATATCTCTGAAACTAAGCATTTTAGGACATACATTTATACGAACTTTTTTACTTATTTGTATCTGCAGAATATGCTGTGGAAGATTCCCGAATACAGTTCGAACCACCCTGTATTTAAACGTGTTGTATTCTTATCTAACCATCTGCTGATTATAATTGGAAAAAGTGCTTTGAATTAGTTTCTCATAAGGTTTAATACTCGGTTTAATATTATAATTTGATAAAAGTTGATTATTATCTATAAAGTTACATTTCTTTTCAGATTTTATTTACGTAAATCTTTCAACAGCAGAAAATGGATCATCTTTCTCGAAGGCGGATGGTATTGTTATGACACTTACAGCTGCAGAAATAGATGGCTGAAACAAAGGCATTATATGACGTCGTCAAAATGGCCCGAAACCAAAGATGGTAAGTAACTATTACAAATGATCGAGAAAATACATATTAAATTTAAAATTTTAACTAAGAGATAAGACGCAATCTTAAAAATTTGTGACATACTTATTTCAACGTCTTAGCAAAAGCCATCTATTGAAAAAGAAGATTGGCATCATGCCACTTCTGTAAAAAAGCTAATTGTGAATTTGTATCTTCTATATTAAATAATTTGCCATTTTGCATGAAAGTGGCAACATAACATCGTTTATGACATAATCTGTACAAGTTTCCGGTAACCAAATTCTAATTAAGCATGTTAATAGTAATGATTATACCCCGCTGGCAAGCAAACCTTTAGGTCGGCGTTTACTTGTATAGGAGTGAGGCGTTATGGCAATCTAGTAAGTCGGAGTGAGCAAAAACACGAAATTATTACGTAACTAAATTTATTACGTAACTACTTAATCTGGCTAGATTCCATGCGCTTGGGAAAATACTCGCCTTCTGTCTTTATTCAGTACATCTTATTTTACTAAGCGTGTTGATCGTACTCTTCTTACACATGAAAACTGGCACCCAAGACGCGAATTGCCGACCCTTAGTAGATTTCATTATAAAGAAAGTTTTTAATTTTTTCTTAACAAAATACAGTAATACCCCGGACTTACGCGATAGGTGGGACTGAGCGCTATCCGCGTAAGTCGAATTCGCGTAAGTCGGGGTACAATTTTGCATATAAAGACATACAAAGTATGTTTAATTGGGACTGGAGACTAAATAAAACAATAATTTAGGAAATAATTAGTATCTAATTCTAAATAATATGACAATACAATATACAAACTATATTAATAGAGTGTATAAACACAATCCGAAGTTATTTTGATGTAGAAGGTTTCATAAATTGTAACAAAGTCGTCTGACGAGTCAATGATTTTTTCTTCTCCCGTAATATCTCCTCGTAGCATCCTAGTAATTTTTTTATTCCATGTTTTGTAACAAAACTGCGCTCTTCATTGGAGTCTATGCTTTCCAAAATTGTTAACCCTTTTTCAATCGAACTGAGGGCTTCTGTCAAGTTTCCAACTGTCATTTGATCTTCTAATTGAACTGGATCCAAAGAATCATGATTATCAATTTCTTCCTCTTGTTCACGCATTGTTATGAGCTCATCAATTGTAAGCTCCTCATTGTGTGAATCCAACAGCTCTTGAACATCATCACTATCCACTTCTAAATTTATTTGTCTACCAAGTTCGACAACGTCTTTGATCACATTGCAAATTTCATCAGGCCCTGACACTAATTCCGCCTGAGTCATAGTGGAGAAAAAAAATGGACAGAGTTTTTTCCAGACGCCATTTAAAGTTTTTTGTGAAATTTCATTCCAAGATTCTCCAATGATTCTCACTGCTTCTAAAACGTTGAATTGTTTCCAAAATTCTTTAACAGAGAGCTCGTTGTTTTGTCTCATAGCTTCATGCAGATGTGCAAACGATCGTCTCGTGTAATAAGCTTTGAATGTTTTGATAACGCCCTGGTCCATCGGTTGAAGCAAGCTGGTTGTATTTGGTGGCAAAAATTCAACTTTCACACGTGGGTCGAAACTAGTTAAAGTAGCAGGAGGATGACCTGGCGCGTTGTCGATTAATAGCATCACTTTAAACGGGATTTGTTTAGACTGGCAATAACGTTCGACTTCAGGTATGAAGTGATGACCAAACCAGTCTTCAAAAAGGGAGGCCGTCACCCAAGCTTTACGATTCGACTTCCAAATCACGGGCAAACCAGCTTTAGATTTGTTTTTCAATGCTCTTGGATTTTCCGAGCGATAAACTAAGAGAGGTTTTAATTTAAAGTCACCAGCTGCATTCGCGCCAAGCATCACTGTCAATCGATCTTTGGCGGCCTTAAAACCTGGAAAAGTTTTCTCTTCACGCGCAATAAAAGTTCTTTTAGGCATCTTCTTCCAAAATAGGCCAGTTTCATCTACGTTGAATATGGTTTGGCTGGTATAGCCACCTTCATTTATCATAGCTTTGAGTTTCTCTGGATAGAGAGATGCTGCCTCTTTATCTGCACTTGCCGCCTCTCCACTTTCTGCAATGCTATGCCAGTTACAGCGACTTTTGAACCGGCTGAACCAACCGTTACTGGCTTTAAACGTTTCATCTTTAGCCATCTCCCCAGCTTCTTCTTTTAATTTCTCAAAAATTTGTTTAGCTTGAAAGCACACCGTGTTCTGATCAATAGGACAATTTTTCACACTTACTTGATTATCACACCATAATTTTAACAATGTTTCCATTTCAGCGATAATACCATGCCGTTTACGAATGATGCTTGAATTCAAAGACTGAGCATTTTTCACAGCTTCGAGAATTTTTTCTTTACTTTTCGTAATTGATCTGACTGTCGATTCCGGAAGTTCATACTTCTTCGCTAAATCACAAATTTTTATTTTTGCATCGTAGTCTTTAATAATGTTAAGTTTACACTCCAAAGATAATGTTTTTCTCTTCTTGTTTAAAGCAAAAGAGTCGGTTCTACTTCGTTTGGATGCCATAGTACTTAGTAAATATCTCAGGTCGTCGCACAACGCACAAAAAAACACAAAATCGTAACTTATGTACCTACGCGCCGATTCGCACTACACGTATGTGCTTGTTGTAAACTGAACGAATAATAATGCGGGCGGGGGGAGTCAGAAACAAACGCCGCCGCTTGACCTTGACTGCACGGCGTTCAAACAAAAAACGAATAGACGAGAAAATTAAATCGCGTAACTCCGAATTCGCGTAAGTCGAGGTAGCGTAAGTCGGGGTATTACTGTACAATAAATATGTATTATTAGGGTTAAGATTGTAGTGGATAAAATATATTATTGTTTTTAATGATTTTTAAACGTTTACCTCTTTTGATTTCAGTCGGTGGTATTCTGTCATCAAACATGGAGGAAAACCCATATTGGTGGAACGCCAATCACGTTTTCGTACCGTACTGCAGCAGCGACTCGTGGAGCGGAACCAAGCGATCGGAAAAACAAGGAATGTTCAGTTTTATGGGTTCGTCTATCGTGCTACAAGTGGTTCGTGATCTAATTCCACTAGGATTAGAGAACAGTACCGATTTGTTATTAGCCGGTGAGTTTACAGAAAAAAAATGAGATTGTGAATTGATAATTTTAATACGAACGCAATATTGAAAAGTGAAAATTAATAATAAAAGTGATTATAGTTATATTAAAATTAAGGAACTATTTTAAAGCATAAAAATGAGAGTTGGTATGTTAGTATATGACATAAATTAGGATTGATTGATATATTCAATTGTTTTTGGTCACTTCCTGTTTTACCGGAAATAACTTTTGATTTTTAAATGGCACCCTCAGTACATTTCTACTTTATTCGATATACTCTGGATAGAATGATATATGTCAAAAGTATGTAGAAATTGTAACATGCGGTTCATAACGATAATTTGACTCAAAATACCTAAGTGTTTTATATAAAGTGTAATAAAATAGCAGGTTAGTCGTGACTGAATAAGTTAAGAAAAAAACTCAAAATTTAAGTAAGGATGCAGTCAATAATCAGCACATAGGCTAATAAAACTACTTTTTCAAATTTGTCAAGCTTTCGAGAATTTTATTCCCATCATCAGGACAGTTTGACTGAGTCAATGAGCAAAAAAACATCTTCTGCACAAAAAGGCCTTAAAAACTAGCATAATCATATGACATTGGAATACAAGGACATTTTTTTTATAAAATATTAAAATACATATCCAACTACATTACTTTTCTGTCAAAGTCACTGTTTGATCGAGCTCGAAACAACAATGTAGAAATTAGTTTAGTAAATTTAAAAAAAAAAATTGTTTTGTGTTTAAAAGAAAAGTAATGTCGTTGAATATGTATTTTAATATTTTATAAAGGAAATGTGTTTGTATTCCAATGTCATATGATGCTAGTTTTTAAAGCCTTTTTGTGCAGAGGATGTTTTTTTGCTAATTGACTCAGTCAAACTCTCCTGATGATGGGAATAAAATTCTCGAAAGCTTGACAAATGAAAAAGTATTTTTATTAGCCTATGTGGTGATTATTGACTGCATCCTCAGTTAAATTTTGAGTTTTTTTCTAAAGTGTAATATATAAAGTGTTTGGTACCAAATTATTCGTAGAAAATGCTTTGATTTGAGATATAATTAAAAATACGATTTGGGCATCTTTTAACCGGTCAGGACACGATCAAAACTATTTTTCCAAGGCTCTTTGATTAAAAAATAGTGTTTTTAACACAGCCATGGCACTCTAGATTGAAATTTAAAATACCATTTGTTTTTAAGTGAAAATATAAAAAGTTGTCATATGATATGTAATTTTATTCAGCGTCATTTTCTATCGAATAAAGTGGAAATATACCGAGACTATAAAAGTTGTAGTCCTTTCCGGTGAAACAGGAAGTGAGCAAAAACAATTGAATACGTCAATCAATCTGAGCTACTTTTGAAACGCACCCGGTATAAGATGTACAAATTATTTATTTAAAAGTATCAACCATTTTAAAACATTATTAATATAAAACTCCTTAGAGAGGGACTAAAAATTTGAAAGACCTGAATAATGCGGAACAACAGTTCCAGTTAGAGTTCTGAACATGACCAAAATGCTCTATAAGATGTACTTTTATTATTCGTTAAAAATATTAGCAATTTAAAATTTCCTTATGTAAGATTCTTAGCTAATTTTCAGTGGTAAACGGCTAATATAATACTTCTTAAAAAATATATATATAAACATAAAAATTGTAAGTACCTATCTCCTTATTGCCTAAATGATCTAGGAGTATATTGAAGAACGAATATGAAGTGAACCTTTAAATTAATATTCTAACTTATTATCCAAATTATGTAAACTTCCGTACCGTTGCAAAACTATTTATTTTAACTTAAGAAAATATGCTCTCAGCATAAAATAAATTATTAAAATTGCCGAATGACATATAATTATCTCACCAAATTTTACAAGTTGCATCATAATGCGAAATATTTTTCGAGATATAATATACCGGCGACTCAAATAATAATAAACAAACTAATTTATATAAAAATAGGTCAAGAAACCTATATCTATATTGTATTATGAAATATACTGGGTGAGTTATTTTTTTTTAAATGTTACAAAGCAACCCATATTTGAATAAGTTTATATTGTTTATATTTATTTGAAATTTGTGTCATTGTGAAAAATAGTATGGCTTCTAAACTATTGCTAACGATATGCATGATTAAACCAGCCATCCTTGTATATTACCAACTTTCTAAGACAATCTAATGAAGTTTTAAGTAAGAATTGTTTGTTCTAATGCCGTCTGCGATGTCGTGTTTTATTTTCATTTTGCGTCTTTTGGTTTAATTTGGTATTTTATCATTCCTGGATCTTCCAGTAGCTCTTCTCCTAATCTATCTTCCTGGCTTGTAGCGTTCCTCCTAATTTTTTCTTTCAAGAATCATACTTCGTAGCTATATACAGGGTGGCCCATCGAAAACGTTCCGCAAGGCATAACGACCAGGGTAATTTTTTTTTTCAGAAAATTCAAAAACACGTCAATTTTGTTTGTGAGGGGGACAACTTTTGCCCCAAAAATGATTGCAAAATCTTCAACCCTTTAAGCGGGGGCGTCATCCCCCAATTTTTTTCAAAAGGGAAGGGGGGTCAAGTGGTACCTCAATGAAAAGGGCTTTCTATTCTCTATACTTTCCGGCTTCGTTTTTGAAAATCGGTCGAGTTATTGAGAAAATATGAAGGTAAGTAATGAGAAGGATACATTTCTTCAACCAATTTGCTGTTTTTTCTTATTATTTCTAGATGTTTACTCATTTTTTCACTTGTCACAAGGTTGAACGATCAGGTGCGGTAGTTGCTAGATAGCTGTTCTGTGACTTATGCGTTGAAGTTCTTCTCGATATCGTTAAATTTTTTAACAATTATTATGGTGTACTCACTTGCAGAAAAAGTAGAAATAATCGAACTTTATTTTAAAAATACAAAATAACAAACTATGAGTGAACGAGTGGCGAATGATAATAATTTTCTATTTAATGTGTGTTTTTTGGATGAGTGTACTTTCTTTTTGAACGGTGTAGTTAATCGGCACAACTGATCGGTACTGGGCTGAAGACAACCCCAGGGTTTTTCACGAGGTGCACACACAAAACCCTCATAAATTGAACGGTTGGGCTGGTATTTTTGGAAATTCTATTGTGAGTCAGTTTAACGATATTGAGAAGAACTTCAACGCACAAGTCACAGAACAGCTATCTAGCAACTACCGCACCTGATCGTTCAACCTTGTGGCAAGTGGAAAATGCGTAAACACCTAGAAATAATAAGAAAAAACCTCAAATTGGTCGAAAGAATCCTTATCCTTTACTCTGATAAATGTTTCAATAAACTTTTCAAATTTCAATCCTTCATATTTTCTCAATGACTCGACGGATTTTCAAAAACGAGGCGGGGTATTATAAAGAATAGAAAGGTCTTTTCATTGCGGTGCCACTTGACCCCCCTTCCCATTTGAAAAAAGTTGGGGGATGACACCCCCGCTTAGAGGGTTGAAGATTTCGCAATCATTTTTGGGGCAAAAGTTGTCCCCCTCACAAACAAAATTGACGTGTTTTTGGATTTTTTGAAAAAATACCCTAGCCGTTATGCCTTGCGGAACGTTTTCGATGGGCCACCCTGTATAAATATATTTATTGGAATAAAGTTGGAAATTCTTTTTGGTGTTCGGCCGTTATATTCTTATCCAATAATATTTCATTTAGCTTTGAAAGTACTATTCTGCTTTTTATTTAGATTAATGGTAAAATTTGCAGCCAATCAAACGGAGTATCAACATCGAGTACTTGTCTAAAGAAAACCAATGCAGGAGTTCTTGGAATAAAATTTTCCAGATGTATGAGTTTTCCAGATAATTGAAGGAAATAGAAGTCGTGTATAGATTGTGTACCTTGAGATGTTTAATCTTAATATTTACATGATAAAGAAGAGTGATATATCTATAAAAAAACGTTCTAATTGTCTCAGTTAATAAATAAAGAAAATGAAAGTTCAATAGTTCAATATAAAAGTCTCAATCGTAAAAAACAATCGTGTATAATCTGTGTACCTTAGAATGTAGAATGTTTAGGAGGGGAGTTAATCACCGCGATCTTGCAGATCTCTATTGTGTGTTCCCCTTTCTTGAGTTATAACTCATCATACAGTCCCAGAGCTTTAACAAAAGTCAGTATCTGAGACGGCTCCACAGAGGCCAGCTCTCCATTCTCGACATCAGTCGTACCAAAGTTCATGGCACGAACGGTTGTCGTTTCGGCGCACTCAGTGATAAGGTGTTCTGGTGTTTCCCCATTTTCCCCACGGAATCTGCATTCGCCGTTGTTTCTCAGCTTCAGCCTACTGAGGTGACAATCCGAAGATTGCTTTTACTTAAATCAAGGAAAACCTTTGATTTTTCTCGGTCGTAAGATCTGAAGAACTTTTTCGAGTGTCTTAGACCGTTGGATATACAGGCCGGACCACCGTAGTAGTAACATAGGCAGAACCGGACGAATTAGCGTATACCCGTCCGCCGGATAAAAAGCAGGCGAAAAAATGCGATAAAATAAAAATACGTAGATATGTGATAAGAATGTTACAGAATTTGTATTTATTCGTGTTTTAATAGCCGAAACGAATACATAGATTCTCGCTACAGCTTTCGTGTAAAATTTATTTTTTAAGTAAAATAATGGATGTTTACGAAGTTCGTGAGAAAATTCAAATTGTCAAACTTTTGTAAACAGGCCAATTCCATCTTTACCTACTATATCAAGAGTTATTAAAAATTTTGAAACACATGGGTGCGTGTCCGCACTAAAACACAAAATGCCTGATGTGTTGATTAATGAAGAACAGGAGTTAAAGCAAGTGTTCGGGGTGGTTTTGTAGGGGAGCATATTATTGGTCCATTTTTTATAAAGGATAATTTAACTGTTGCAAAGTATTTGGACTTGTTACAGCAGCAGATTGTCGCTAGAATTCGTGAGGTATTGGGAGAAATATTCCACAATGTCTGGTTTCAGCAAGATGGTTGCCCTACCCACATTGCCCGTATTGTTCAAGAATATTTGAACAATACTTTTCCCAACCGTTTAATTAGTGAACATGAAACTATTTTGTGGCCCGCTAGATCACCAGATCTTTCTCCCAATGACTTCTTTTTGTAGGGTTATATAAAATCCAAAGTGTATGATCATAACAGCTCTAATAATCTGGATGAGCTTCAAGTAAAAATATGAGAGGCTTTCCAAACTATTAGTCCTAATATGTTAGCCAATGTCAGACGGGGATTTTACGACCGCCTAGGCTTCTGTCTAGCACAAGAAGGTGGTCTTTTTCAACACTTGTTATAACTTTTTTTTATTTAGAGTAATATTTTAGTTTTTTGCGGGTTTAGGGAATTTATTTATTTTTAATTTTGGCTTGTAAACACACTCAAATAATAAATATTTAAGTATTTTTATTTTAAATGTTACCTTAAGTGAAGGTAAACACTTAAAATGAAAATAATAAATACTCGGTACTCCTCGCGTCGTATTCCTAGTGTCACGACCGACCCGTCCAAGCACAACTGCAACTGCGTACTGCCTGACCAGCCGACTAGCCGGCAGTGAATCTGTAGTACGAACGCAAATCGGGTAAACGTAAATTCGTCCGGCAACTTGCTATGTTACTAGTAGCCTGGTCTTCTCTATATGTGTGTGTGTACCTTAAGATGTTTAATCTCAATATTTACATGATAAATAAGAGTGATATAACTATCAAAAACGTTCCAATTGTCTCAGTTAATAAATAAAGAAAATGAAAGTTCAACATAACAGTCCCAATCGTAAAAAACAATGTCTACCAGTTTCATGTATTTTAAAAATATTTTATTAAAATTGAAATAAATAAAACTACTTTAGACACACTACTTACAAACCTACCTCATGTTCTTACTTACTAGAATATATTTTTGTTCCAAAATCAATAAAGACAATATTTTCTATATTGTTTTAGGTAGCAGTGCTGGAGGAACTGGAGTCATGATCAACTTAGATTTCGTTGAAGAACTCCTCCACGAGCAAATGTTCCTGAAACAAATCAAAGTGAGGGGTGTAACGGATTCTGGATGGTTCCTGGATAGAACCCCGTACGCTCCAACTATAAAACCTGCGGTGGATGCAATCAGAAAGGGAATGGAACTGTGGGAAGGAAAAGTGCCAAGACGTTGTAGGGAACAGTACTTGAGCGAACCGTGGAGATGTTACTTTGGATACAGATTGTATCCAACGTTAAAAAGTGAGTGTAACATAATTTATCTTTATTTTAAATTCTGTTTTATTTGATTTCATTACTCATGTTTCTTTATCGCTGTCAAATAAATTGGCACTCAAAAATTGACGTGCCTTATGTTTACAAACTATATTTTTGTCATTGTCAAAAGTAATTTAATTTTAATATTCAGGGAAAAGTGCCCGGTGGCGTAGAGGTACAGTTTATTAAAATAAAAATAGTTTGGGTACCTATGTCGACTCAGCCTTAAATGAGTACTTGGGATTCACAATCCTGAGGTAATAATAGGCGATTGAAGCGTAGTGCTAGCCACATTACCTTCCTTGTATACCGAACGGCTCTAGCATGGTAAGCTGTACCTTGCTACTCCCAAGGCGCTAAACGCTATATACGGGAGCTATCGTATTATTATTATTATTATATTCAGGGAAAATTAACCGAGACATGTCAAATACATTGTCTAAGCTATTTGCCGCGTAGCACCATTGTATCATGCTCACTTTTTCTTTCGGTGTATAACAATATATTATTATCAGCACTGAATATTAAAATTTTATTAAAATTAATTTACGTTTATAACTATAACGTTGAGAACTTCAGGTATGTCGGTTTTTGACTGGTATTTGATTATTACCTGTTCCGTTCAGTTTTAATTTAAAAATAGATGCAGTTTTTCTCAAATTACTCAAAATCGGCTTGTCCAAAATTGTTCAATTTTGGCATGTGTGTTTACCAAACGTTTCTTTTTTGTTTACCAAACGTTTCTTTGAAAAATCTATTATGACTTTGCTTTAACATCATTAGGGGAGCCAATATTGGAACAGTTCAAAATTTGCATGGGATTTCCTATGTTTCCAACCACGATGCACCACCCGGTATAATATATAGTTATATTAACTTTAAACAAGAACTGTCTATACCTTTTTGGTAAATTCAAATAAGTAATATTTTGGTGATATTTATACATGATCGATTTTTGAAAAATTTAAGATTTTGAAGTATCTGAACTGTACCGAACTATCATTTTTCATCATCTAATAAACTGTTTCTATTGTTTCAGCTCCATTATTCGTATTTCAATGGCTGTTTGATGAAGCACAAATGGACGCTGACAATGTTGGTGCACCAGTGACCAAACAACAATGGGACTACATACATAAAATGGGTGATGCTCTGAGGCATAGTTTTCAAAATGTCTCGGCAGTTTTTGCGCCATCCTGTATATCTCATTCGGTTTTAACGAAGAGGGATTGGCAAGAAGTGAAAATTGACGATATCTCTATTGCTGACGCTTTACACTGTTGGGTACAGAAAACGAATAGAAGAAGGTAAATAAATTATTATTTATATTTATAAAATCTTTCTTTGATATCATTTATATTAACATCATCACAATTTCTCAGGTATCTAATAGTCAAATGTAGATAAAACAATGAAAAATGCCAATGTTCCGTGAATTTCATAACCTGTTGTTGAGTTATGTCAACCTATGTTTCTATGGATATGTCATTATTCTTATTATACGAGGGAAATGTCGAAGACGCTTCTCAGCATTTTTAATGTTTTGAACAATATTATTTATAGCTGCCAAGTCGTAAATTATCAATTACTTATTGAGGAACTGATACAAGAAATAATCGTTTTCAGTAGAGAGCAAAAGAACGCACAAAATCACATTTTTTTCTATTTTTACTGACAGTTCGATAAGCAAAACGATCCTTTAAGGTAGCCATTTTCAAATCACACAGCGCAATGGGTAAAGACTCTAAAGCGGGTTTTCCACATGCAAGGATTACTGGCGCCAGTCTATCGCCACTTTATTGGCGCCACAATTAAATGGTGCCATTACCCGTTTCTACAGGTCTATGGTAAATTTAAAACCAAACCAAACACCTTGTTATGCTCTAGGATGTAAGCATTCCTAATATTTCGAATTTTGGCCTTTGCCGAATTTACATCAAAGTTACTGGGAGAATCAGACATGACACCAATAATTCTTTCCTTCATCCCTTTTATTTCGGTCCTTATAATCACTTATTTTATTGTTTCATAAGCAAGGATGTTGTTCGTAGGCTTCCAAGAACTTTATTATTAATTCAGTAGACCACTTTTTTGAAACAAACGACAATTTTAAGACTGGAGATGTGCTCGCTGTATTGTTTACACACAAAACTAGCGCCAAAAAGTACAGGAGCGTTAAACTTTACTGGCACCACATGAATTAGTGGCGCCACTAAACTTGCGCCAGTCGATATTTTACAGGTTTCCACATACAATAAAACTGGCGCCAGTAATCCTTGCATGTGGAAACCCTGCTTAAGCGCATCAGATGAGAATAACCTAACCGAACGGTAGTTAAGTGCGCGCTAAGCGAAAATTAACCTCATATTCCCTGAGCGTCTAAAAGCGCTGAGCGTTTTCTAAGTTACAGAATTCGGGTCCTGGCTAGTAATGATTATTTTCAAGTACATCGACACAATAATTAGTTATATTTATTAATTCATCTAGCGAAGAAAGCGTCCCTATATCTCAATTTTAGTCAGATATAAATATAACATATTTGTTGAAAAACGCCAATGACGTTTTGAACCGTCTCGTTTTTCTATTTATCAAATATAAAATCGCCAGTTTTATTTAAAAATTGTGTTAAAAGTACGCTTATATTCATGAATCTAAATTATTCTCTTTTCTTCCAGGATAAAACGTCGGAAAAATCACAAGAAGAAAAAGCAACTGAAGAAGCAGAAACAGCTTCAACGATCCGAACAACAACTGGAAAACAACTTAAAACGCGATAACAAAGTCGATCGAGAAACGAGAAACAAGAAAAAGAAGCGAAGAAGAGAAAGAAAACAAAAAGAAAGAAAGAGAAAGAGACAGGAGGAACAGAATCGTCTGAAAGATGTCGGAAAGAATAGGACGAAGAATTCGATACCTCAGAAGAATGTTTACTCTTTCGAGAACAGAACGAGGAAATCATCTAGTTCTGTGGCTCAAAAGAGACAGAGAAATAAGCACTGTGCCCATAGGAGACTGGAAAGGTGTTCGTGGCCTCAGGTAGGTTCATTGTATTTTAATAATTTTGTACACGGTGTCCTATTTTGGTTGAAATCTTATGGTATCTCCGTCGTTAGTGAAAATAGAAGAATGCGGTTTTCACAAATCTTATCCCACGTTTTTGTTAAATGAAAGATGCTGTAAACAAAATGTTCATAGTCCTCTTAGTTTCTGAGCTACAGGGTCTTTAAAAAAAATCAATTTGGGACACCCTCGTATCTCTGATATTGAGAAGGTGAAAACTGCTTATTGTAGAACATTTTACGTAGAATACAGTGGTGTAGTCTGTTATTCTACGAAAATAATAGTCTTGAAGATATGAACTTAAGTTATGTTTTTTTCAATTGGAACACCCTGTATATTTATAAATCATATTATGATCTGGCTTGATATGAGCTTCTCAAAAATATATGTATACACTCTATATTTACTTTCTCTATTTAATATTTAAAAAATTTCATTAAAAGATCATTTCGTTTGGTTAGGTCGTGATTGATAATAATAAAAGAAACACACACACAAGAGAATAATTAAAAGTATGTTGCTATGTATGACTTTTTTTATTTTAGGAGCTAGTAATATATTCTTTATATATCGGGGAAACTTAAGACCTTACCGGTATTTGTAAATCTTGGAACCTATCTGACAGGAACTTTTAGTGGATATTTTTTAGATAGATTTTAGATAGACTTTAGCTAATTTATGTGAAATAGTTTCAGCAAGATGGGTCTCCAGCTCACAACTTTGAAAATATGTAAATATTATAACAACCATTTCCCAAATCAACGAGTTTGGACCAATGCAATGGACACGAACGATGGCCTCCCAGATCACCGGATTTATCCGTTCTCGATTTCTGTATTTAGGGAATTTTGAAATTTTAAATATATCATGGCAACTACAACAGTGTCGAAGACTTGGAAAATACTATTCGGCAAACTTTTAGATATTTGCAAACCCATCCCATTATAAAAAAAAAATATTCAGAGATTCAGTGGTAACAATTTAAAAGCAAAATATTTTAGTCCTAAATAAAATTTTAATATGTGTATGCATATTTTAGTAAATACTAGACTAATAAGAAAATTAGTCTTTCAAATATTACAGTAAATAGTGAAAACACATATAGAGTGTTACCCAGAGTGTTACATATTCTTGAGAAGCTCATAGCAGGCCAGATCATATGATTTATAAATATACAGGGTTTTCCATTTGAGAAAACATAACTTAGTTCATATTCAAACATATTCTTTTCGTAGAATTTCAAACTACGCCACTTTATTCTACGTAAAAAGATCGTGTAAGAAAAGTTCGTAAAAATCGCTACAGAGTGGTCTAGTAGACACCTCTATTACCCAAGCAGCATTTGGACGTCGGGACAACGTTGTGTCACGCGACCAAATGTCGGGGCGCAACGTCGGCACAACCTCGGGCCAACCCAAGTCTGCACTAGTTTGGAGAATAATTTTTGGGTCGAAACGACGTTGGATATCTACGTTGGCTAGCAGCCTAATTTAGTACAAACTGCAACGTTGTTTAAAATCCTAATTCACAGAAATACAAAACTATAATAATATGGCGTCTAAGTCGCGTTTTATCCTAAATTGGGATAATTATAGTAAAAATATTATTTTTATGATTTAGTCAGAGACATATGCCAGATGGCAGTAAAGGAAAACAAAACAAAAGTATTTAAGTGTGGAGGATGTTTGAAGATCATAATTATTGAAACTGAAACACTTTAACCAACTCTGTAACTCGTTACCCAAGGCAAAAAAGTTAAACGCAAACAACTTTATTGATAAATGTATTGTTTCTACTTTGAAAAATACTAATGGGCCTTAAAATTAAAGAAGTTTTAAAACATTTCTTGATTTTTTTTAGTAAAATGAGAGTAATTTATTCACAGTCGAAAAAAAAATCGCGTGTTGTTTAGGGTCAAATATTTCAAGTTAATGTATTAAAAAAGCAGGAATTGCTATTTTAGGAACGAAACATTTTCTTATTCAATAACATGGCGGCTTTCACTTTGTTGTTTTGGAGATTAAGATGGAGTAGTTCAAGTAGTCGCATACTGGACTAATAAAGTTCAGCCTTAACAGGTAGTATACTAGTCGCAAGATTGCCTAATTTAGTCATCCTAGAGTCTAGCTTGTGCCGCCCTCTATATTCTAAATAAACGAGGGAGTGGATAAAGTATCGGTAATATGTCGATGTATATTTAAATTTATTTATATGTGCCTTTCTTACGCCCCATTTTAATTAAGTTTTTTTTTATAAAAACAAAAACAGCACTGAACTGTCTGACTGAACAGGACAATGAAGTGAAAATTTAAGATTTAAGGTTATGGTTCAATACAGTTGCAAAAAGGTAGTGGCTCGACGTCCTACCAACGTAAGAATAAGGAAATCTAAACACCGTTGGAATTACTAAAACAGACGACGTTTGCATAACGTTGGAATAGGTCCTGAAAGTGACGTCGGAAAAATCTTTATTGCCCAACATTGTAACTACGTTGTCTGAATCACCCAAAGATCACTTAAGCAAAAATGGTTACAAGACAACGTTTATTCGACGTCGCAGAAGCTTTTACTTTGTTGTAGTATTAGTTCAACGTCGGCACAACGTTACAACAACGTTTACATTTATTTTAATAACCAAGGTACAGAGCTAACTATTTTTTGTAACTAATCCAACGTTGTGTTAGTAAACATGTGGTCGCAAGTCGTGAAAATGTTACTTGGGTAAATTACATAAATTATTAGAAAATAAAACATCTTCATAATAAATCATCTTCAGAAACTTATAATTAAATATTTCTTTTTATTTTCAGTGTAACCATTCTTGTCCGAAACTCCACAACCCTTTCACCGGTGAGGAGATGGACTTCATAGAACTCCTCAAGTCCTTTGGACTGGATATGGAAAATGTGGCAAATGCCTTAGGCATCGACATGGAAACCTTAAACAACATGGACCACGGCGAACTACTTAACCTACTCACACAACAAACGAACTAAATTTTATTTAATCTAAACTCTGTCTCAGTGAGCGCGTTGTGATGAACAAACATTTCTAGAATAAGTCGAAAATTTTTGCAAGAATATCTAATTAATAATTTGGAAATCATTTCTAATAGAGCTCGTCAAATATAGGATGGTATCTTGCGATTTAATTTTGAAAAACAATGACATTTAAAAACGATATTCATTTTTGTTGCAATTTTAAAATGTCATTACATTGTAATATCTAATTAGCAAATTTAAAAAGTACACTAGTAAATTAGTGAAAAGGATGCTGCTGTTTGGCCGCAATAAGAACGTTAAATTGTGGCGTTATCTTCGACAAAGCAAGGTGCATATCATCTGCGACGTTCAATCGGTTGCGACTTTTTGTTTTTATTGAGACCAGAACCGAGAACCCTGCCTCAGCAAAGCTACGTAGTAGCAAATTGGATCAGAACGGACATAGCTCGCTTGACAAGAAGAGGGTAAGCTTGACTTAAAGAACACTAAAACTCTCTAAGATATTTTGCATGAAATTCAGTTTTGAAAACTTCTTTTGCTCTTATGCCAATTAAATCATCTTTAATGAGATCTTCATCGCTGATATTATCCGTGTCGATTATAAATGGACCCCGCACCCACGTTTCATTTTCAAGCGATTCTAAGTTAAAGTAGCCTTCAAAAGAAGTTTCCAATGTATCCTAATGTTTAGACACCTCTTTCTGTAGCATTTTTGAGATCGTGTTACCGTCACCTTGAGCTATTAACTCTTCAAACATCGGCAAATTTGCAAAGTTACCAGATTCCACCCTTTTTTTCCAAAGTGGCAGTTTACATATGAAACCTTTCAACCGTTCAGATGCATTCACGATGGTCACCGCAAAGCCCTGAAGAGACAAGTTAATCTCATTCAATTGAGTAAATATATCTGCCAAATACGCTAGCCTCCGTACAAAATCTTTGCTCTTAATATATTCAGACAGTGAATTTCCTTTATCTTTTAGAAAAAGTAACACTTCTGCCCTCAACTCAAACAATCGCTTTAAGACATGTTCCCTTAACAGCCAACGAACTTCTGCGTAGTAAAGCAGAGTACTTCATGTTCTGACCCCATTTCTTGATAAAGTTTTTTAAACAGGCGGTGGTTTAAAGCTCTTGTACCACATGTAGAAATAACTTCCTTCATAAATGTAGGCAAAGTCCGTGAAGCCAAGGCTTGTCGATGTAAGACACAATGAGTTATTATGACATGAGGGATCTCTTTCTTGACCAAAGCCGCGAAACCAGACTTATTACCAAGCATTGCTGGAGCTCCATCGGTACAGATACTACCAAGTTTAGTCTTCCAGTCTATATTTTTTTCGTTGAAAAACCTTTTTGTCATTTTAGAAACATCTGAACCCCTTGTAGTCTCCAAAAGTGAATTGCAAAAAAGAAACTCGTCTTTAATACTCCGTGTGTTTTTTTGTAAGTAACGGACAAATACCAAGAGTTGGTTACATTGTGACACATCAGTGCTTTCATCCAATTGAATGCTGAATGCAAACGGTGAAGCAATTAATTCTTCAACGACTTAAATATTTGACGACGTTTCAACAATTCTAAAATGAATAACATCGTTTGATAAGGGAACAGCTTCAACTTTGTTTTTTTGATCCTTACGCGAATCGCCTAGTATTTAGTGATTAAATACCTACTGAATTTGCTGCCCTACGCTATTTTTTTTCTTAATAAATATGTTTACAGTTAACTGGCGTAACACGGACCGCGGGGGGACCCATGATACACATGCTATGGACCCCTAAGGGGTCCGTGGACCACACTTTAAGAAACCCTGATTTAAACCAAAAACTCGTAATACAAAACTAAATTGTCAAAAAGATTGACAATGTCAGGAAATAAATAAATGTGGCAACTTCACATTTTTTACAACAGAGCTACCACCTGAATCCCCTGCGGGAAATTTAAATTCCAGTTGGTCAGCCCGGTGCCGAGTATGTCCATGGATGGCAACAATGAATTTAAAAATCGCGCCCTCGATTACGTAACTAAAAGTTTAATTGGTATCAAATATATGTTTCTTTACTGCGCAAATATGTGCGTTTGCATGGAGATACATAATCGCATATCATCATATATTTGATAAGCTGTAAGTATGTTCAAAACAAATTCTCATTTTTTCCATAGGATTCAACGATTTTAATTTAATATGTTTGTTATTTATATAAGTCGTGTAAAATATTTAATCAGTATTTTTTGTTATTTTGTTAGTTTTGTATAATTGTACATAAAATTTTTATCGGAGTACTATAGTTTCTAAGGTATTGTACATAACTTATATGTTCTATTTAAAAATACAGGGTTTATATTTTTAGAAACGTTATTTTAAAACAAGTAGTATAAAAAAACCTAGTGCAGTAAATTTTGAAATCCTGTTTACAATAATTGAAAATATTTTTAATAACGCGCTTTAAGAAACCCTGTATAAACATTTATTGTATATATTACATTTATAACTAACTACCATAACAAATATTTTGTATATATGAAATAATTTATTGTGTATTTGTGTTCAAAACATCGAAAAACCTGCTTTTTCGGAAAACTGCTTATTTTCCAAAGTAGAATTTATGTTTTGATGGAGAAATACGACTTATTGATGTTCGATTAAAGGGAATTGAGAATTAAGTAAATATTATAACGATCATTAAGCAGACAAAACAGACGATTTTATGTATTTGTTTTTGACTGCCGATTAAATTATATACATATTTTGAAAAATAAGCAATTTTCCTTTTTAGTTTTTCTTTTTAAGATTTATTTATTCGCGTTGTACCCAAAGACGTTTTCTATTATGTTTTCAAATCAATAGGACTGATTTTCGTTCTACCTCATTTGTATAGTACATTTAGGTTGTAGATTTTACTTAATTTAATTTTTATATTACTAAATAATATAATATTATACAGACAAATAAATGTTTTTAATTACCACATCGTCTAGATTTTTTTTGTTTCCAATCATTTTCAATATTTCGTGTAAATTATCAAAAATATTAATTATTTTCACTGAAAATAAGATGGTACAAGTAACAGCAGAGGCAGACTCAATAATTTTGGGTCGAATTATGTACTAATCTTTTAATAAACGATATTTATCAAGTATAGTAGAAAAGTGCGCTGTGTCTGTGTGTCCCTCCCATAGGACAAGTGTGTCCTATTTGGGGACACACTTGTCCACTGTCGAACTATATGTTCTTTCAGTCTAGTAGTGGTTTCCATACAGTGATATAAGAATAGAGTAATACACTTTTAACAGGGTGCCAATCAAAAAGTTGCCGCAAATAGGGGTTGCCAGTAGAGGTGGGAATCCTAGTTCCTTGAGAGGAACTAGTTCCTCCAGAGGAATAGTTTTTTAAACTAGGTCTTTACTTCACAATAGTTCCCGACTAACATTGGCATCCCCCTTGCCTGCTAATGAGTTTTGTTGTCAGTCAGAACTATTCACAGTATGAACAAATATAACGAGACGTGTAATTGCATATGTTAAAAACATGGAGGTCAGTTTTATTGCAGATAAAAAAAATTAAAAAAGAAACTCAGATCAAATTTTAAAAAACTATATCACAAATCAATTGGGGCAAATAATACGAAAATTTTACGATTTTTTTTTTGTTTTTGTCTAAAATTTTAGAATATCTACTACGTTTTATAAGATACTTCTTAATTTTAGGGACCTAAAGTGAAACTTTGACATAAAAATTTTACTTTGCCTTTACTTTGCCATAAAATATACAAAGGACAAACTAAAAATCAAAAACAGTATCCACGACAGCTTTCTGTGGTAATTACGCCTTACGCCGGCTGTGGCAATAGACAAGGCCGAATCCATCATCGTCGCCTTGTATTATATTTCGGATCTGCCGACTGAATAGTATTCCCGTGAACTAGCCTTTTAATTAGTTCCTCTCAATCGTTTCGGCCCGGGACAGGTGACATACGGCTGGCACTCTCCACTCCCGCCTAGCATCGGACTATGATCGCGCTGGTCGACCCGTCGCATATTATTATATATCGGTCACTGTCCGGAATAGGTCCTGAGAAACTAGTTCTTTAAGAAAACCGGAACTAGTTCCTTCCAATCCGGGATCGGAATAGTTCATTGGAACTAGTTTGTTCACGGACTACACAGCTCTAGTTACCAGGAGTCAAGTCATACCTAACACTTTATACGGTCCCATCAACAATGCCTCGGGAATCTGTAGTCTCTATAATAAAAACAAACTTAGGAATTTTGTATAAGTGCAAACCTAAAGTATGTATTAGAATGTATTTTAGGAAAATATTTTAACTTCTACCGGTTGGCTCAAAAAACTGTGAGCGAAAAAGGATATTTTTTTTAAATAGCGCACCCTATATATTATTCGATTTTTGGCTTCCTTTCTAATCACTTTATATAACTCTTAGATCTTAGATATTATTAAATATGTTTTGATAGTTAATAAATATTAATATATAAATAAAACATATATATTTTCAGCCTTTTTTAGAAAAATTGTTAAAAAGAGAAGAAATGTCCTGAAATCAAAACTATATAAAAATATAATAATAAAAACTATAATACTAGGTATTTACTATAGTTGGTCTGTAGTTACTTTGTATATCTTTTAATTCTCCGTCTAACAAGGAAATAATTCCAATTTTATTTTATTTATAAATTTCTTTCCGGTAGGGGTAACATTATCCCTCCTGTCCTGTATATGGGCCTTTGCTAAAGGGTGAGTAAAACAATATTTAATAGTAATTAACATTCTTAGCTTTATTTCCTTCGATAGCTACACGTATCAAATCATTTCCCAAAAAATAATCGCTGGTAACGATATTCGCTTCATTAAACCATTCATCTCTGAACCATTTCGTCACTTCTTTATTAACATTCTGAGCTAGAACTCTGAGATTATTTTTCCTGAGTATCACGTCCCATGTACCAGGTGTAAGTTCAGCCATCAATGCCCATAGAGGGTTCCTGAAGCCTTTGTATTCGGAAATGGATCTCCAGAGGTAGTCTTTTAGTTCTGAGACTTTGTTCGTGTTACCCCAGAATTGTTTAATGGGTTGCCAAAGCCATGGATTACCTAAAAAACATGACTTTTGACAAAGTTATTTTTTTATTAATAAACCTTATGATTTAAATTAATAAACATCTACATGCGGAGCTCTGTAGAACTGAACCGACCAGCCCTTGCAGTGTAATTGAGCTCAAATTCAAGAAAGCAATAAAGAAAGAGGGATATATCCTCTATTATAGATTCGAGACAACACTGTTATCAGGTCTAAGCAGAGACCAAGTTAAAGAGGTGGAGAAAAGTCTCTCTCTCTCACGGGTATCCTCCAGCCTCTCTCTCACGGGTATCTCAGCCGGAGACAAGCTCCTCGACTGTGAAGGGCATGGAGGGCTAAGCCCCAATCTTTGAAGGGTGTATACCCTCGTAGGAGATAGATGACCACTCCTCGGGGGATTAACATCTGTAATCAGAGGAGAATGGAAAATACCATGTCCCCCCTACAGCAGGAAGATCCCCATGTAAGATGCGTTATAGACTGTATGATGAGTTATAACTCAAGAAAGGAGGACACAATAGTTCTTTATAAGCTCTCGGTGATTAACCTCCACCCCTTCTTACTCATTCTACATTCTACATTCCGTCTCAAGTCGTTAAAAGCCTTAAGAAGAACCTTTTCATTATCATTTACCTTATCGTAACATTGTCTCGATACAAACTTTATTAATCTTAATATTGTATCTCTATATAAGAGGTCTCAACATTTAAAGAATAAAACCAATTTTGCAAAAAGATAGTAAACCAAATTACATCCTATTAAAGTTCTCCTAAGCATTAAAATTTAACATTTCTTACCCATTTCTTATTAAACGTAAGATAATAGTGAATTACTTACTATTAGACACCAAAGAATCAGCATAAGATATAATAATACTTTTATTCTGTGCCCATATTTCGTTGAAGCTTGGTCCACCCTCCCTTTGGTAGCCATGGGGCGACAGGACATGGACTCCCAAGATATCATCAAGCATTCTGGTGAACTTTTGATGCATTTGTCTAGTAAAGTTTCGTGGAAACGGAAATCTGTGAATATCCACAATAATAACTTCCCGAGGAGCAAGTTCAGCAAATTTCTTTATTTGTCTCAAAATCGGTTCCACTTTGGCAACTCTAACGTGATCATGATAAATGTACAATCTAAAAATATATCTGTGTTAATATACAGGTTGGTCCGAACTGTATTCCGGAAACTTCGGCTACATATTCGTATAAATATATGTGCTTCATAAAATGCTTAGTTTCGGGGGTACGGGGTGGACAATTTTCATTTTTTTTTATTTTTTCCATATAATTTATGAAGTAACGTCAATATTTAGCTGAAAATTGGTGTCTGGGAGTTTTTTGACATGAGAAATTTGATTATGATGTCAATATGACTAAGCAGAGGGCGCCACTTACATATTTTTTAACTTGTTTGAAGAGTAATAACTTTTCGTCCGTACCTGTATAAAACTACTGTGTAAAAAATATACATTAACAACGGTTTTTACGTAAAAGAGGTCTCTTGGTAAAAATCGCTACGAGTAATAGTTCTCGAGATATTTCGAATCGAAATTATCAATAACTGTCATCATTGACATAAATTAAATATGTTGACTAAATTAATAGTTATTAGACTGTAATCATAAATTTTAAACCTTAGATGAGTTAAACCACATAGAGGTGGCTGAGCATTTTAAAGCTTAACGAACTGTTTTACTTATTTTTATCTTTAGAATATGCAGCACAATTCGGACCACCCTGTATAAAAACATTTATTTATTTTGTCGTTCTACTCAGTGATCGAATGACTGTGATATCGAACGAAAAAGCTTTAAGAGTTTTAAATTATAGTCAGAAAATCATGAAGTTGATAACAAAAACCGATCACGACAATACAGTTGAGAGGAAACTGCTTAAAATAAATAATAATTAATAAAAATTATTAAAAAGAACTTAAATATAGAGAGAGATGGACGTAATTATAACTCGAATTAAACTAGATATTTGATTGTATCAATTTCTCTTACTCTTCTTCAGGTGTATAGCCTATCCTTAGATCCAAGTATCTGATACCAAACACCAACTGAGTCCATATATTTCTGTCTTGGTTCAGAACGTAACCTTCAAATACTGCAATGATTCCTTTATATGAACCGGAGTTGTGTGTGCCAGGAATGAAGACATTACCTATTCTTTGATTTCCCAAATACTCCCTAAAATATAACATTTATTACTCCTCAAATAATAACAGCAAAACAATTGGTTAATAAAGTCACTCTTAAAGAACTTGAATCATTTTATGTCTATTACGATTCTAACCTTACTATTGCTCATTTTACATGTAAATATAAACAAGATGTCATGTGATATGGATACTGGGACATGAAAATCTAGAGACAAACTAATGTACCATCTCACTTGCCAAAATATGTTCATTTCTTGGACCAGAACCGGCACTTAGACATCACTAAACATACAGATACACCAGCTTTACAAATGTGTTAGAAATGTTTGTTCCAGTAATGGAACGGTAACAACAACTAATAGACCGGTATACTAGGGATGACGTTATGGGAATAATACCAATTCACCATCACCACCACACCTACACAGTTAGTAATTCTACTCTGTAGGTGTAATGGGCAATGGTATAACCAATTCTGTTGATCGTTGACACCAGCGAGTAATAGTAAAGAGTCAACGTTCGAAACAGGAAAAGTGCTTAAAATTCCTAGATGTTGAAGCGTTTACACCTGCTTTCAGTTACTGACGGAATCTACAAGGAGCCTCCGATTAAAAATGAATATTCAGACGATTTGGTCATGATAGCCAGAGGCAAGTTCAATACAACAATACGTGAGCAAATGTAGAAGAAGACTGTGGAAACGGAGGTGACATGGAAGGGACTAAATAGGCTATAATTATCACTTTCACCAAGCGAACCACTTTGGAAGGACTAGGAGCTCTCTGGTTCTGGGGTAAACAAATTCCTTTCTCAGAGAAGGCCCAGCATCTGGGAATTATACTAGATACCAAACTGATGTGAACTGACCTAAATTAACAGATTGATAAAATTTCTGTCTCAATAATAAACAAAAAATACAATAAAAATGTGTCGTGGCGAGGTATGATTGGAGGTGTGATGATTTCGGTATTGATGGATACATTAATATTTATATTTGTTTAATTCCATAATTCTACTACCTTAAGAATATCTATAGATTTCTAAATATGGCACGAAACATATATTAATATATATGGCCCTCAATGAGACAAGCAGAATCATCACCGGATGCTTAAAGCCAACACCCCTGGACAAGATCCACCATCTAGCTGGCATCGCCCCTCCTGCCATCCGTAGAGAGGCAGCTGCACTCAAAGAACGATCCAAAGCAGCAGCAACTGAACGCCACCTACTCTACGGCATCCAACCCGCTCATCAGCGATTGAAATCAAGGCATAGCTTCCTGCGATCGACAGAAGACTACGAGGAACCTAGAACCAATGTGGACCTTTGGGAGAAGACCTCAAATCAACATTGGATGGAGCCGAAGGAACAATTGGCACCAGGAAGCGACGAAAACTGGGAAACTTGGAGAGCTCTTAACAGACTGCATACGGGCACAGCGAGATCGAGAGACACTCTTACCAAGTGGGGCTACCATGTGGACTCCAACCTCTGCGAATGTGGAGCACTACAAACCACCCAACATATGTATACTTGCCCACTGTGCCCCGCCAAGTGCACTAGAGAGGACCTTATGGCAGCAAAGTCGAACGCAATTGACGTCGCCCGCTTCTGGGCAAAATATGTTTAGTTTCCCGTCTCAAATGATGTTTATACATGCTATGTTTGTTTTATATCTATGTTTTAATGTACTGTGGTTTCATGTATAACTTTTATGTTTGCAATTTTACTTATTATTATTATTATTATTATATGTAATTATTGTTGTTATTTTGTTGTTGTATGTGATATTATATGTATATGAAATGTAATCTTGATGATGCTTCTGACACGAATAAATAAATAAATAATAATATGGCACGAGACTACCAAGGAACAATCGAGTTCATACAAAACCGACTAGTAGACGAATTACAGTCGGATAAGATTCTGGAAACGGTCTCAGATCTCACACCACCTGTTCAACTCTTGATACGCACCTACATCATTCTGTTTCCGAATAGGGATGAATGGGATAAGCTGAGAAACGCTTTATTGCATGGGGAAATGTTTTGATACACGGACGGATCCAAGAACGGAAAAGGACCTGGAGCAGGAATTTACTGCAACAGTCTTAAGACTGAGATCTACAGCCTTGGAAAACATACCACAATTTTCCAAACTGAGTTATATGCTATTGTGTGTGTCCTATTGTATGTGTATTTCCAAACTGAGTTATATGCTATTGTGTCTATATAAATGTGCCGGTAGAACAGCAATACACCGGGAATACAATAAACATATTTCGGGATAATCAAGCCACATTGAAAGCACTTGAAGCAACAAAAACCACGTCTATGACGATTCATTGTAGAAAACCACTAAATTTATTAGGAGATAGGAACAAAGTGTAGCTATTATGGTGCAGGTTCGCCATTCGTGAGCCTAGAACCGATATTTAGCTTCCTATATCAATAAATCTCAATTTCTTAATTAAATTAATAGTTTATTTTTAAAGAAGCATGCGTAATAATATGTTATTAACCAGAGGATATATACGTTACTATTAAAGGACATATTTACTTTTTAGTAATGTGCTGAAACGTCTAGAACTATTGGCAACGTCGCTACTAGTCTTCCAGAATGAAATGAGCCGTCCGTCCCACCACCCCTCGCAACGGTCCTTGGTCTGTTGTAACGTACTACGTTTAGCTTACGCAAAAAATCTCGCAAGAGACTTGGGCTTTGGGAACGAGTTAACACTGAGAGGTTTCGGGACTGGAATGAGATTCCCGGAATGGAACATACCAATAAAATCCCAGCAGGGCCATCCAAACGCAGAACAGAAGAACTCTTAAATGCTGACAGAAATGGAGCGCCTACGCTCCCTGCAGTATACACGGGACACTGCTGGCTGAGACCACACCTGCAGAGGGAGGGACTGGTGGAAGACGCCGAATGTCGACTCTGTATGGAAGATGACCAAACCATGAAGCACGTATGTAGCGCTGGGAGCAGGGCCAGGTTTGAGGTTATGGCAAAAACATCCTATCAGACCCAGAAGACATATCACCCACGGGCATAACAGTCTATGTTAAAAGGTAGGATCTTGTGGGTGAACTTTAATACTCTTTTTAGTCTAAAGAGTTTGTAGAACTGAGCCACAATAGGCACTCGCGGCCGTATTGGAGTGTCCCACCTGGGACCCACTCTTAGTACATACAATTCATTAAGAATACTAAAATATTATTACCTGTTATCATACATCCAGGTGGGTTGTATTTCCAAACATCTAGCATCGACAATTCTATCGCGCTGTATAGAAGATATCCAGTATGGAAGACAGTGAGGGCCTATGTCTGCTCTGACAGTGTAGGGATCGTACTCCCAGTGACCGGGTAACCAGGGTTCTCGGAACTTAATTTTTGTTTTGTAGTAGCCGCTCGGATAGTCTAGCAAGCGAATTTGAACCAAGACAGATGAAAATCTATCTTCCTGAAAATTGATAATATTCGTATAAAAACAAATGTTTTCAATGTTAAATGGAATATAGAGTTGAACTTCTTGGAATTGAATTTATAAATTGAACATATGGAACAAAATTTTCTTGTTCATAGGTACATCATGTTCTGTAAGTTTCAGTCTTTGAATGTACGGATTATATAAATTATTATTACATTTTCAATTCAAAAAGAAAACAGTTTTTTATATATAATAAAAAGTGCCAGTTGTTTAAGCTATTCAGATCTAGTCTAAATGATCATGTTTTGTATGCAAATAAATAAATTAAGTGAAATAATAACTAAATAGAAATAATAGCTTTTTTATACAAGACGATAAAATGGTATTTTATCGTCGACCGATAAGATTAATTTGGGGAGACGATAATGAAATTTTATGGTCGTGTCTAAAACAATATTTTTTTTCCATAGCGAGTTACGTTTTAAAAAATATTCAGAAATTATTATTTCAAGGAATTTATTACGAGTAGAAAAAATATTGTGCTGGGTTGGCGTTGGTTTCTATGAAATTTGACAAATAAATAAAGCTGTCTCTTTAGTTGTCAGTTTTGAGTCAATATTTTTTAATTCTCTTTCGTGTCGATTGCTGATTGAATTGGGGCAAGAAATGGCTCAAAACGAAATAAGAAAATTACCAACAGATATTCAGGCTGAGGCGACAAACGCTATATCCAAACTACTTCCATTTAAATCCCGAATAACTTATGAAAAGGAATACAAAAAATTTTAAAAATGGAAGCAATTAAAAAACGTGTAAGAAAAAATAAATAAAGTTTTTAACCTATCCTCGCTGTTAAAGTATCATTTAATCTACCTTTGCGGTTAAAGTACTATTTTATCTACTATTTTTGATAGATATAAGGCCATGATACAAGAAGGTTAGATAAGATCCTTGGCGAACGCAAATCTGTTCTCGGCGCGCATGACATCACTAGGGTAGTAATTTTCTGTTAAGCTCCGCCAACTCCATGCGCAATATCTTCTATCAAAAGTTCCCTGGCGGTGGCAAATCGGTTCTCGGCGCGCGTGACGTCAGCCGGATAGTAATTTTCTGTTAAGCTCGGCCCACTACATGTGTAATACCTTATCTAACCCTCCTTGTATCATGATATAAGGCCATTTTAACAGTTGCTATGGAAAAAAGTAAATAATCTATACAAATGTGTATACCTACATCCCTAGTCCTTAAATCTCTGGTTGATAGAGTGATGAAATCTGGCCATGTATGTTCATCGCAGCCTCTGGTAATCCAGTTAAGTTCTAAATAGCTATCTTGCATTGGCGATACTGTTAGATGGACCTTTCCACATGATCCCAGTTGATACTGTAAAGCTAAAAATAGTATATGTCTTTATTATATACTCGATTAATCCTAATATAAGTGGTGGTAGTAATATAGAGAATTTTAATAAATAACAAAACACTGGGAATAGTAAAAGAATATCGTATGATCGAAAACGGCGTCAGCGATGGCTATGAAATGAAGATCGCTGTCATTTTATGTATAAAATTATATGAGGAATGTTATCGATGTTCATTTCCAAGTCAACTGGACGCCGCTTTTATATTCGATCATACGGTATATTTGAGACAACTAATACACAGCTCGGGATCTCTACTACCAGAAATCAACAGAAGAATTAAGTTAGCATAGAGTACTTATGGAAGAAACTCAATCATATTCAAATCTAGAATGCCACCCTATCTGGAGAAGAAAACGATAGACCAGTGTCTACTACCCGTCATGACTTATGCATGCAAAATCTGGACAATTAAAACGAACATCATAAGGAAACTGCAGGTCGCACAACGCTCAATGGAACGAAATATGCTGGGACAACAAATAGTACGGGAGGTGGCGACACTAAATTATGTAAGATTTCATAACGATTAGTTTTACTTTTTTTGTTGTATCATTTCAAAGCTATCGAAACCTAAAATCGATTCCTGCAGGGATACCATGGGTAATATTATTTTTTTCTGTGAGTAATAATTAATAATAGATAAAACAATGGAACTAATTTCGAACTGATTCATGATCGTTTTACAGGTTTCATCAGTTACCTGATACGGTAACTGATGAACACGATAACGATGATACAATGGAGCGTGAGCGCATTCAACTTGACAACGATTCCAACGATAGCGAGAATTCTGACATCGACGATTTATCCACTTTATAGAAATTATAGATCGACAAAGATACGTGTCTATAAACTTTTTGACATTGTATATTTTTGGTGTATAGATATAAAAAATCTAAATTGTTGAAACAAATTCAGTTCTGTAATTATGTCAAGACTCTATCACTTGATTAGCTCCTGCCGAAGCCAGGTCCCATCAAATGACTGGCAGGATATGTTTTTTAGTTATCGTAAATATTAATGAAATGTTAAAAAAATCAACTTTTATGATTTATATCAATGGATTATATTTTTTACATAAATAAAATTATGGCAGGAGTGTATAGGTCTACCGAAAAAGTGGCAGGAAGGCGTTTCATGACTTATTTAAATGTTATTAAAACATTGAGAAAGTTTCATCTTTTATTATTTTAAACATTTAGACTTTTTTTCCAACATGTTTTGCATACCGCCGTCAATCGTTGTACCGCTAAAGAGGTGGCAGGAGTTCATTTTCTTGATCAGAGGTATTAATATTACAAAAAGATAAGTCGAGTTTTATGAAATGGGATAATGAAAAGTGTCGCCACCTCCCGTACTAAAACGTTAAAACGCGTAACAACGGGTTAAAAAAAAACAAAAAAAAACGCAAGTATTTTTATAGCCATTTAATAAAATGTTATAATACATATTCACAGGAAATTAGGATTGGTTATAGACTAAAGAAATGACACAGCGCTTTTAAAAATTTAATAGGATTTCGTTACTATGACACTGACCCAATACAATACAATTTATTTGTAATTGTATCAGCATAAAATAAAATGTTGATATTGGCATAACAGGTAAAACAATTCTTGAAAATTATTTAAGGCATTTACTTTGGATAAAACTGGTCAAAAAGAACTCCAATATTATTCTTTTCTCAAGGTTTTAGGTCCATGTTTCTACGTTTAATTTAATTTTATAATAGTTAAATTCATTATGTTTATTCGCTAGTTAGTAAGCTACGATTTCCTCTCGTTAAATTGATCTGATTCACGTTTTTCAACGAACAAAGAATCCTCTGATGACTAATAATTTTACCTTACCTTACTTCTCATATATTGCCTACCAGGCTGTGAGCAAAATAAATTAACATTATAAAAACCACTCCAAAGCTCACATGTCTGTTTAAAGAAGCTTTGGTATTTCCTTAAGATGATAATTCTGCGAGACTTCATCTTCTCTTCAGAGAGTTTTTAACATACAACGTCTTAATTGTACTAGATATTACAAATGCAAAAACAGGTTTAAATGTTGTTGTTAAATACAGATTAGGATATTCCAGTGACTCAATAGGTAATTATTTATAATCTTACATCTGTTCCAGTTAATTTAGCAATATTAATGCAAATTAAAGGTGTACATGCGGCCCATCCTTTGCAAATTGTCTTGATATCGCAGAAATAATATAATAGGTACATATTGTATTTAAAAATATATTATTTATTATGTTTTACATTTCTATATAACTTATCCATTTTTATATTTATATATGGAATATTTCATTATTATATTTTATATATGGAACACCCAGTATATTATTTAGGTGTTCAATGGGGAATTCGTAAATCTTCAAAATATTATTAAGGTTGCCTACCTCTCAGACAAAGATGCACACTGCATTAACATAATTAGCACCCCAACTAATAGAATCATATCAATTCTCTCTGATATAGAATAAGTTTGTATTTTCGGCAAATTTCTGAAAATTTTTGTTTGTTTTAACTGACACAAAATGATAGCTAGTTGTTAAAGTTGGACTAATTATGGACTAATTAGACAGCTGTGTTGTGAAGTAACGTCAGACATATCACAGTCACTTAGATTTATCAAACAATAAAGATCTACTGACACTAAGTCATATAAATGAAAATATCTAGAAAAATCTTTGTTTGAGGGGTAGGCAAACTTAATAGAATTTTAAAAAGACATGAATTCCCCATTCAATATCGGAATAATATACTGGGTGTTCCATGTAAAATAAAAGAGTAATTTGCTTTTAAATGTGACCAGTGTTCAATATAAATTTTCTCTCATCCTGTATAGCTTTTTGGATCATGTTTTAATTTGGTTTAAAGTACAGTAGTTAATTTAACTACATATTAGACTATACCGGGTAAATTCCAATTTAGGTAGCTTTTATTGTTCTTTATTTTTAGAAAATGTTAAATATGTCAAAAACCTTACATTTTAGTCATCTTATCGAACTCACCTTTATTTTTCTCGCAGAATCCAAAAATCAATTAATATATAGGGTGTTTCATAACAAAAAATCACAACTTTGATATGTAACTTTATAGGGACACCCTGTAGAACTGTCTATATTTTTAAAAAGTGCTCTGAATTAACCTACATATGCTCACAAAATTTAATTTTAATACAAACTGTCGTTCTTTTGGAGCCTCCGCGTTGAATGAGAGGTGCCACCCTGTACATACAGGGTGTCAAAAAATAGTGTATCTAACTTCGGCCGGTGATTCAGATAAAAATAAAACAAAAAGTTCCTGTGAATGCTTCTCAAAGATTTTATGCAAAAAGATGATCTTTGTTTAGTTCGAAAAAGTGAACGGTTTTCAAGATATTTACTTTTAAAGGTTCCGATGCATCGATTTTAGCATTAGCCAGATCAGGAGATTGATTTATTTAAAATTTCCTTACATTTTATCAGTATACACATTTAAAAAAAATGATATATTTAACGCCAAATTAATAACCATATTAATTAAAGATATAAGAAACTTACCTTGTGGTATGGACCCGAACACCAAACAGAACAAAGTACATATCACAAAGTAGCACAACAAATAACACATTATATTACCATGACCTCAGCTATTGTATCTTCACGTATCTTGCTCTAGTAACCCAGAAATTAGGACAAGTACAAACTCTTAGTTTAGGGTCATATTTTCATACAATTAAAGTGTTAAATCGCAATACAAATAAATAAATTAAATTCTAGCCTGTCACCGCAGCAGCGGTTCAAGTGGAAATAAAATAATCAAGAATTAAGAGCGTAGCGCGCTTGTGAGAACCTCGGTTCCCCTTTCATTGTCTATTCATCACACACCGGACCGTGGATTCACTTACTACGTTACATATACAGGGTGAATCATAAATACCAACAAAAGTATCATTGCAAAATTTATGGAGCTCGATATTTCAAATCTACACATTGATGGAGAAATATGCTAAAGCTGAAGCGTTAATTTAACTGATATTATGTTATCTTTCAATTTTTAAAATGTATATACAGGGTGACAATTTGAAAACGAACAGTATTTAATATTGCCTCTACCGATGATAGTATGAAAATTTGGCTAAACACGTCAATTTACATATCAAGGGGGACAACTTTTGAGGCCTTTGTTGTTGTGCTACTTTCAACCCCTTGACCCCCAGGGCACCTACCCCTAAAATTTTAAATAGCAACCCTATTTCTTTTACCATTTTTGTGTTTCTTATAGAATTCTACATAAACTGCATTATTTTTTTGTCAAAATGGTGATACTTAATCTCACAAACGAATGAAATGTATTTTATGTACACTAAAATTAATGCATCTCCTTGAAAAATTATGATAATGATAATGAAATACTGGAAGGCTTACCTTTACTACTTTATGAATTTTTCAAAATGGGTTTCATTCTTCTCCAAGCACAAGTACAACCGGTATTCAAATTGTTCTCGGACGTTTTGAAAAGTTGAAATAGCTCTACACTCCTGTACAATTCTTTGTTGTAATTGTTCAATGGAGTCTGGTTGAGTTTTAAATACATCGGATTTCAAGTGGCCCCATAAGAAAAAATCCAGCGGTATCAGATCTGGTGACCTAGGTGGCTATTCTGTGGGTCCCCTCCTACCAATCTACTGCTCTGGGTAATGATTAACCAATCACTCTCTTACTGGGTGTACATAATGCGGAGGCGCTCCGTCCTGTTGGAAGTGCAGCAAATGATCATCTAGAAAAAGATTTCCATTGGTGTCTCTTTGATTTTCCACCTCACGAATTATAAGAGGTTCTATAGCTGCATCTAACATTTCTGCATAAATTTCACCCTTTAGATTTTCATTAATGAGGAGAGGACTGATGATACTATTGCCTAATATACCCACCCAGACATTTATTTTTTGAGGGTATTGCGTATGCCCCTCTCTAATAATGTGACGATTGATGTCGCTCGAATAACGACAGTTTTGTTTATTGTCTTTGCCATTTAAGTAAAAAGTGCATTCGTCACCGAAACAGATATTCTTTATTAACCTGGGCTGAGTAATAACCTTATCCGTCATAATTTCGCAAAACTCAATATATACGTCTGTTCGGGTCATCGCCCCCTAATTCTTGAGTAATTAGGAGTTTGTTTGGATCAAATTTGTGAAGCTTTAATACTTTCCTGACTGACTCACGCGACAGTCCAGTTTGATCTGCAATTTTACGAAGGGACGTAGTGGAAGCCATAACAACTTCACCAAGAGCCTCAATCTGAGCGGCTTCATTGAGCAGTCTTAACCATTCCTTTCACGATGTCTTTCGTTGAATGCGGCCGCCGTTCTTGCAAAGCAGCGATTTTCAGCTCCGTAAATTAAAATCATTTCTACGCGTTCAGCAATAGTGTAAACCATTTTAAGAAACAACACTAATAATTGAAAACTATTGAAATTGTTTATGAAATTAACTTCCACAGCTTATTTCACTGATTCTGGAAGAACATGAAATAAATAATGAACACCAGGAGTCGGAAAATAAAGAAAAAGTACCTACTTATCATTTGGTGGAAATATTAGGAATAAGCAAAACGAGAATCTTGTTTTGTCGAAAACGGCCAAAAAATTAAATTACTTTATGTTTTGTAGTGGCGAGTTTTTCGTCTTCGATGAAATGTAAATAAATAAAAGAATTTGGAATATATAGTATTTGTAGGTATAAACATTTTTAAATGAAGTTCTATGAGGCGGTGAATGCAATCCGTTTTAAAATTAGATATTCAATACATTTCATTCATTTGTGAGGTTAAGTATCACAATTTTGATAAAATAATAAAGCAGTTTATGTAGAATTTTATAAGGAACACAAAAATGGTAAAAGAAATAGGGGTTGCCATTTAAAATTTTAGGGGTAGGTGCCCTGGGGGTCAAAGGGTTGAAAGATACAAATGCAAAATAACAAATGCAAAATGTAAAAATACAAATGCCTGAAAAATTGTCCCCTTGGATATGTAAATTGACGTAATACGCCAAATTTTCATACTATCATCGGTAGAGGTAATTTTAAATACTGTTCGTTTTCAAATTGTCACCCTGTAGATAAAACGCGTATTAACATGGCATGCAGAAACTGATATAAGAAGCTATTAGTTTTTTAGCCATTTGATAATATTTCATCAATGTTCGCTGTTGAGTTCTGTTGTATTAACGTAAATGATTTCTGCTTCAAATAAAATAACTAACAACAGATAAATAATAATAAGAAATTCATAATTTAGATCCTTTATTTTAACTAAAAGCAATGTGATGGCCGGCCGTGGCTCCAGCTGTAGTCTGTTGAACTGCTGTGCGAGCGGTACTGGGTTCGATCCCCAGACAGTACGGTGGCTTTATTGATTTAAAATAAAAATATTTATTCATCTAAATAGCGACCAGCCAACTGCAAACTCAAAGAAGGCAAATTCTTAGAAGACTTTGTAAACGAATAGGTACCACATACACCTTCTAACTACAGATTTTTAATGGGTTAGGCTATTGTGCTGGCCACTGAAGAATCTGAACATTATTCTTCTGAAACCACTCCTAAACAAAGCGAGATGAATAATCTGGGTTTTGACGCATCACTGCCATTACTCGCTGACGAGTATTTGACACGCATCAGAAGATGGTACGGTTATGCAAGGCGTTTTCTTTCATGAGCTTTTCTGTGACTGAAAAGCCCGATGCGTGATGTTATCTCTGTTCCGCACTCCGGACATTCAAAAATCTCATTACTTTGTTGCCTCTTTACTTTTTGGTTGTCGTTCTTAACTGAATTTACAATTCTATTGAGTTCTATTGTGCACTGCTTCCTCCCACTGATGCTGCATACTTATACCCTTTAAGTTTTCATGGAAAATCTTTGTATCTTTTAAGCTGTCCACCCGGTTTTCTTGCATCCTGAATACGTGGCCAGCCAATCTTAAGCGGGATTTAGTAATCATGACTACAGCGCTCTCGCAGCTTGCTTTTTCAAGGACTGTTACGTTTGAGACATGGTGGTTCCATTTGATTCTTAACAGTTGTCTAAGGTGTCTCTGTTGCAACTTGTTTAATGCACTCGTGTGTCGGCGGTATGGTACCCAGGTTTCGCTTTCATATAACATGGCGGGGATTATTATTGCTCGCTATACTGCAAGTTTCATTTTTGTGCTCAAGTCATGATTGTATAAAACCCAGAATGCTCTTGAAGCGCTGCTAATTCTGTGCTGAATTTCAGAGTCGATATTGGCCTTTTCCGATATCAAACTACCGAGGTAATTGAATTCCGCTACGTATCCCAATAGTTCTTCTCCGATTTTTATAGCACTGTTAGGATTTTCCGGGGGAGTGCACATGATTTTAGTTTTATCGATGTTCAGCTTAAGGCCTAAAGTCTCCTATACCCGGGTATATGTGTTCAGCATTTCCTGTAATTGCTGTAATGTTTTTGCAACTAGAGCGCAGTCATCAGCGTATTGAAGTTCTGTGAAAAATGTTATGCGTGTTTTTGCCCTGAGTCTTTTTATGTTGAACAGACCGCTACCTGTATCTGACACCCATTCCTCTTTCCTGCATTTGACGCATCAGCATACTCAGTATAAGGCAACATCAACATCACGTTTTCTATAATATCAATTTGGTATTATAGATTGGTATACAAAAGTTTTTGTATACCAATCGATCTATAGTGTCATATATAAAGTGTAATGGACCTACTACACTCGACGAAAAACATAGCGATTTTTCAATTAGCGTAGAAGTTTGTTCCTTTAATTTGAATGTATGCATTCAGAACGTCAAAATTAGTGGTAGATATTTTCAATTAGTGGAAAAAGTTAACACATTTTTAACTTTTCCACTAATTATACTCTTTTCCACTAATTTGCGACGAATATCATTTTGGCCTTTGATTATCATTCGTCAAGAGAAAATGTAGTTAGAAATCAAAAGTTTATTGTTCTAATATAATATAGTCACAGTAAAATAAATTTATATAATAAGTGACTAAAATCGATACTGAAAGGGACTAAAATTAATTAAAATTTATCGAAAATAAACCTGATGTATTTTTTATTTTAGATAGACATCTAAACGTAGTTCCAGAACTCGTGATTGTATTTAATATGTGCATGCTGCTATACCTGCTGCTTTGTAATTGTATCTGTATAAAACTGAAACAACCAACGATATTAATTTAATGAGACCATATCAATATAAAAACGTCTAGAATTTCTTTGATAATAAGTTCTTAAAATATCAGACTAATTAATACTAATATTGATGTTTTATAATATGTTTCTATATTTAAAACAGTCTGTTGAATTAATAAAAGAAAGATAAATTGTTTACTAAATTAGTTCAATATAATTGGTATAAAATATCATCGTGTTTAAAACTGATTAAAACAAATTGACAATTTATTTAATTAGTTTATATAAACATAATAGATTATTTAGAAATTGGATAGCATAAAATTAATGCAAATTTCGTAATGTATTTCAGTATGTTATAATTACAGACATTTACGCTATTAAATTAATTATTACTAAGTGATGTTGAAATTTACTCTGATAACAAAATTAGCTTTAGTTTTCGATATTTTTTATTTATAAAATAAACGGTTAGGTTAGGTTTGGTTTGGTTTGGTTAAAACTCAAAGACTCCAAACATGTTTTGAGGGACTACCTTCAAAATAACAACTACAAATTTTATTTTCTTCTTTTTATATCATTTATATTACAGCTTTTATTAAAGCAAATTTTTAACTGATAATTTTTGTTTTCAACTTTTTAGTTTTCTCTCTTCTATTTTCATTCTATTACTGCACCATTATTGTGAAGGTTTTTTCCTGTTAATTGAATCTAAGTTTTTAATGAGGAGTCTTTTAAAAGATTGATAAGCTTGCCCCTTAATCGAATAAAATAAAATGCGTTCATAGGTGCCCAAAGCTGTAGTTTTATTTTTTTAGTTTGAAAGTTCCTATTACCCAAGCAGCATTTGGACGTCGGGACAACGTTGTGTCACGCGACCAAACGTCGCACAGTGCTTCGTCCCATGGACAAAAATCAAAAAATAAGTTGAAATTTACTAATATCTGAATATATAATTTTATACTTATAGCAATGTTCAACCATCCTGTATATCATTTTTCATAAACAGCGTTTTTGTTAGCAAATATTTTCACTAAAAATAAATTTTGCGATCATTATCTCATCAGTGAAAAGAATAACATTCATAGTAGTTCTGTATATTATGGAGTTAAACGGGTACGCACTTAATTGAAAGCCACTATGGATATTGTTAAACAAGGTATGTACTTTAAATTTATTTCTAGACAAGTTCGTGATTGTTTAGTTTTTATTTATTTTTTAAGATGATTCTTAAATGGGTATAAAAATTTTACGTTTTCAAACTTCAAAAAGGCATTAAAAAAAACATATCAAAACATCGTATTTATTGAATATTTTTGTTGCCATATTCATACACTTTTAATTTTTGTATAGTTCATCTGCGTCTGCTTGCGACGAACTTTATTTTATAATACTTTTCAGATGGAGTAAAATTGATAAGCAATGCCGATCTGGCTAATACTTGGCTTGATCATAAGGACAAGAACTCAAAATTATTAGTATTTCAAAAAATATGTTCTTATTAGATATTGATGAACCTTCCAGTCAAATGAGACACCACTTGTGCCTGAAAAAGTCCACTATGTTGGAGCGAAACGTCGAATAAAAAAAGTGTCCATCTTTCAGTTTATTATAAAATCTCATACCCAAGAAAAGGAAAAAATAATATATGCATATGGTCTATTAAAGAGGTAACTATTAACATCCGAACCCCTCATACCGACAAAATGAACAGTAACAACGCGAAAAAGTAACATATTAGAAAATGATGTACAGAAATATCTTATATGTGAGGATACTTCATCTACCTGTGATTTAGATACTATAAATTTAGAAGATTCTGTCAGCAGTGATTCTCCTGAATCAGAGTAGTTACGATCTATGCATTTTGTTGTTCTAAAGTAAATTTATAGTATCTTAAGTTTTTTTTTTAATTAAATATAACATTAGTGTTTCTTTTTCATTGAAGAAAAACATTTTTATCTTATATTAGGCTTATATTGTAGGAATCATGTTCTAATGTTATTTCAATTCTTTTTTATCACAGGAATTTATTTAATACTTACACCGTTTTCATACTATAACTTATTATTTTCTTAGATGGAACACAGTTCCAACATTATTATTATTTATAAGATTTTTTTTTTCATAAACGTGGGACTAAGAACATCATCATTTAGTACAATGAGAGTACTCATCATTTGTGTCAAATAAACCTAGTTTGAATAAATTGCTTACAATAAAAGAGAAGTTTTGGATTTTTGTCCTCTAGAGCCATATGTTCGAAGCACTGTGCGTCGGGGCGCGACGTCGGGACAACCTCGTGCCAACCCTAGTCTGCACTAGTTTGGAGAATAATTTTTGGGTCGAAACGACGTTGGATACCGACGTTGGCTAGAAGCCTAATTTAGTACAAACTGCAACGTTGTTTAAAATCCTATTGCATGTTCTAATACAAAACTAATATGGCGTCTAAGTCGCGTTTTATCCTAAATTGGGATAATTATAGTAAAAATATTATTTTTATGATTTAGTTAGAAACATATGTCAGATGGCAGTGAAGGAAAACAAAACAAAAGTATTTAAGTGTGGAGGATGTTTGAAGATCATAATTATTGAAACACTTTAACCGACTCTGTAACTCGTTACCCAAGGCAAAAAAAGTTAAACGCAAACAAATTTATTGATTAATGTATTGATTCTACTTTGAAAAATACTCATGGGCCTTAAAATTAAAGAAGTTTTAAAAATGTTCTTGAATTTTTTGTTAGTAAAATGAGAATAATTTATTCGCAGTCGAAAAAATTGTTTCCGCGTTTTTTTAGGGTCAAATATTTCAAGTTAATGTATTCAAAAAGCAGGAATTGCTATTTTAGGAACGAAACATTTTCTTATTTAACAACATGGCGGCTTTCACTTTGTTGTTTTGGAGATTAAGATGGAGTAGTTCGAGTAGTCGCATACTGGACTAATAAAGTCGCAGTTCGGCCTTAACAGGTAGTGCACTAGTCGCAAGATTGCTTAATTTAGTCATTGTCTAGCTTGTGCCGCCCTCTATAATCTAAATAAACGAGGGAGTGGATAAACTATCGGTAATATATGTCGATGTATATTTAAATTTTGTTTTATATGTACCTTTCTTATGTCCCATTTTAATTAAGTTTTTTTTATAAAAACAAAAACAGCACTGACTGAACAGAACAATGAAGTGAAAATTTAAGATTTAAGGTTATGGTTCAATACAGTTGCAAAAAGGTAGTGACTCGACGTCCTACCAACGTAAGAATAAGGAAATCTAAACAACGTTGTAATTAGTAAAACAGACGACGTTTGCATAACGTTGGAATAGGTCCTGAAACTTACGTCGGAAAACACTATATTGTCCAACGTTGTAACTACTTTGTCCGAATCACTTAAAGATCACTTAAGAAAAAAGGTTACAAGACAACGTTTATTCGACGTCGCAGAAGCTTCTACTTTGCTGTAGTACTAGTCCAACGTCGGCACAACGTTATAAAAACGTTTAAATTTATTTTAATACCCAAGGTAGGGAGCTAACTATTTTTTGTAACTAATTCAACGTTGTGTTTAGTAAACATGTGGTCGCAAGTCGTGAAAATTCTACTTGGGTACCACCTTCCGACTCCATCTTCAGAGCAGCTTTGTGTTACCATAATATTGCATTGTCGCCGAAATTATGCCACTATACCTAAAATACTTTTTGCCTTTTTATTAATGCTTTATCATCGCCTAGTACAAAGAACTGTATATTTGTCAAAATATCGAACTGACACAGAATGTGTTCTGTCATTTCATCTCCTGTTTGACAAGATCTGCACGTGGATTTGTCTGTCAACACCAACCAATTTAAATGTCTATTAAGCTTCCTATAATAATAGTAAACCTACTAGAGTTAGTTTTCACAGTTTTAAGGCTTTTGCTTATCAGGAATACCATAAATTTTGGCGAGTTATTGCATGTTCTACTACGAACTGTTTCGTGTAGCAGTCCTGATAAAATTATTCAGCATTCTAGGGACTTTTGCAGCACAGCACGAGGTTTCTGGACCAATAAATGAATTTGACTGGGTAGTTCATTTTTTGCCTTTGTTTTTTTGTTACCATTGTAACCATCGTATCCACTGTTAAAACGTTAAGTGAAGATTACAGAAGGACTACTAATAATAGTAAAATTTATCTTCACAAAGACAAGATTACAGTCTAGAGGAGGTAGTTCTGAATTTTCAATAACACTGGGTTTCTCACTCCTACACCAATCTCATTTGAGACGTTAACTACTTCACTTCACAACATAGTGACATGTCAATCTAGCATATAACCGTCTATATCAAATAGACAGGTAGTAGTGGTGAAAGGTTATAAGAAAAAATAAGCCAATGAGCCACTCTGAAATAAACATAGCACTAATACTAGTTAAGTATATGCATCCATAATTATCATAAGACTGTCTAAAATATAAAAACTAATTCAGGTAAAAATGTATAAAGTTAAATCAAAATACCGTATAGTTTGTAGCGTTTTTATTTTCACATAGTTAAAGTTAACGCTGACAAATATACAATCAGTTCACAAATCTCTGTACAAGTCGGTCAGTAGATCATAATACACGGTTAGAATCTGGCTTACATCGAATACAAAACAAAAACTATAAACTCATTAAATAAATAAGCTTCTCAAATAAGTTACAGCGCATTCAAAACTAAATATTGCAAACAAAATTATGCAATGGCAGTTATATTCTACCTTTACATAGTAAAGAACACACTTTAAGCTTAAACCTAATCAAAACAGACCTGCACATCAGAAGTAATTCAAATATTTACTATTTATTTATTCAATATCGAACATTAATAATAATATGGAGAAGATATTTCTATAAATGCATTCAATAATGAAAGATGTAAAAATTGAAATATTTACTGGTGTGCAGGTCCTCAATATCATACTCTTTAATACTCATTTACCCAGTCAGAAGTTAAGTTACTAAATCTCTAAAATATTAAATTTTTATATCACAGACGAGTTGCTTTCTATCTTGCTATCATCTTCAGGCTCCTGTATATTCAGAACAAGCGAAGTCTCTCCAATTGGAGCAGCAGCATCTACCAAATGCTCAGCACTAAGCGACGCTACACCATTATCAGCAAACGTTGCGTCACGAGAGGCGTGCTCGGGAGTTCTAGTCGAGTTCCTCCTGAAGCTACTCCTCAGAATCGAAGCTACTTCGGCCGCTGTTAGAGCATTGGGTGACGATTGCAAGTTCCTAAGACGTTCAAGGGTAGAGATGCGAGCAGGACTACTAGTTGTAGTATTATTCATCTCCACAAAGACGCTGTTGTAGTCTGGAGGTGGTGGTTCTAAGCTTTCAATGACTGAAGGTCTGGTCCTGGATGGTCCAGCTACACCAACCTCACCTAAAACATTCGCTATTCGCCTCATGCTTCGTCTGATGCTTTGGCGTAGAAATTTAGCTAACCGGGCACCGGTAGCGGTGGTGTAACTGGGCGGTGGTGTGTATTTGGGTGGTGGGTCTTCTGAAGCAGGATTGGAAGCGTTGTTGCTGTTTCCGGTTGCGGGATTGGTGGCGGGAGGATCTTCCATATGTTCTCCGATTGGTGGTCGATACAGTAACTGTATTCTCTAAAAGATAGAACCAATTAAGCATTCAATTATTCAACAAAGCATTTGATACTTTCTAAGCAACAATCTAGTAAAGACTTCTGTTCAACATTATATAGAAAAATATCCTGTAATTATATGAGTAATCTTTTCTATAAGTATACAGACCGGACCACCGTAGCAGTAACAGAGGCAGAACCGGACGAATTAGCGTACAACCGTCCGCCGGATAAAAAGCAGGCGAAAAAATGCGATAAAATAAAAATAGGTATATATGTGATAAAAATGTTTCAGAATTTGTATTTATTCGTGTTTTAATAGCCAAAACAAATACATAGATTCTCGCGACAGTTCTCGTGTAAAATTTATTTTTTAAGTAAAATAATGGATGTTTACGAAGTTCGTGAGAAAATTGAAATTGTAAAATGTTATTTCCAAAATAGGTCTTATCGGGATATGCAAACAATTTTTCCATAAACTTTTGTAAACAGGCCAATTCCATCTTTACCTACTGTATCAAGAGTTATTAATAATTTTGAAACACATGGGTGCGTATTCCCACAAAAACACAAAAAGCCTGATATGTTGATTAATGAAGAACAGGCGTTAAAGCAAGTCTTCATTTGTGCTACCGCGGATCAAAATCCCACGTTTTGTGTGTGAGGTTCAAGTTAACGTCTCCTTTCTGCTGCAATGGCTAAACTGAACGGGACCTACTTTGTTTACGCGGAATCCGAACCGCGGTCCTCAGCCATATCATGGTCAATGGCCTACCAACTTAGGAAGTGTCTAAATTAACTTACTCACGAGATATCTGATCTCATCCGGCCTCGAACCGGCGTGAATGAGCAGTGTGTATCAATAGATTTTACACTTTTCCCTTGGACAACAGCACGATGCAAAGTTTCGAACCGGTCACCCGTCCATCCACTAGCATCGCCTTACGTCGCTTAACTTCGGTGTTCTAATGGGAACCGGTGTTCAAGTTTTCAATCCCACGTTTTCAAGTAATCAAATTTCTGAGGTAGTTGTCCTGCCCACAATGTCCGTATTGTTCAAGAATATTTGAACAATACTTTTCCCAACCGTTTAATTAGTGGATATGGAACTATTTTGTGGCCCGCTAGATCACCAGATCTTTCTCCCAATGATTTATTTTTGTGGGGTTATGTAAAATCCAAAGTGTATGGTCATAATAGGGCTAATAATCTGGATGAGCTTCAAGTAAAAATAAGAGAGGCTTTCCAAACTATTAGCCAATGTCAGACGGGGATTTTACGACCGCCTAGGCTTCTGTCTAGCACAAGAAGATGGTCTTTTTGAACACTTGTTATAACTTTTTTTTATTTAGAGTAATATTTTAGTTTTTTTTGGATTTAGAGAATTTATTTATTTTTAGTTTTGGCTTGTAAACACACTCAAATAATAAATATTTAAGTATTTTCATTTTAAATGTTACCTTAAGTGAACACAAATGAAAATAATAAACACTCGGCACTCCTCGCGTCGTATTCCTAGTCTGTCACGACCGACCCGTCCAAGCGCAACTGCAACTGCGTACTGCCTGACCAGCCGACTAGCCGGCAGTGAATCTCGAGTCTCGAGTACGAACGCAAAACGGGTAAACGTAAATTGGTCCGGCAACTTGCTATGTTACTAGTAGCAAACTAGTAGCCTGGTCTTCTCTGTATAAGTAGATTAATTTTGATTCTTTTTGAGTCTTTCCTAGATTTGTAGAAAAACAAGCACCTAAAGTAAGATAAAATATATTACACTACTAACGTTATTAGATGGATCCTCATACTCCTTTGAAAAGCATGTAATTATACATTAGTATCAGGTACTAGGTAAATTTTTTGTAACATAAATAGTGTGATCAAAAAGTTTTATGAACAAGTGCACTTGAAAAAGAATTGTTGAAAAAAATCGTAAGAACTACATATGTAACAAAAGAGTCTTGATCAAAAAACGTCTTGACCATATTGCAGTGGCTCATATTATTACAATAATACTTACATCGAGTATATCAGATGGACCATTGTTCAAGTATCGATAACTCTGAATGACAGCTACTAATGGCACACAAAGAACTGGCAAGAGTTGCATCATGGATCCGATCTGACGAGCCCACAAGGGCCAATAATCCGAAAAAGGTGCGTGATGCCATATGAACATATCTCGAAAACTGCCATTTTTGAACGTAGTAATGCACAACACCTGAAACGCATATGTAAGTAATTTAGAAATTTTGCAATGAAGTAGATAAAAAAGAAAAAATGAATTAAGTTTGAGAGAAGGAAACAAATTAAAAAATAAAACTTTAGATAAAAATATGGCATAAAAAACATGAATACAATAAATTAACTGTAGAAATAAATAACTCTATATTATATTTATATTAATAATTATGCTTACCATAAGAGCAACGGGAAGGATGACGTTCCAAGTAAATGACAACAATGCTGGCGCCCAACCAAATAAACAGTTATAGCTGTGCTGGTTAAAAAGCGTAGCTACAACGGTATCTCCACTGTATGGTCGTCCTCGCACCATAAATACTGCTACGATTTGAAGCAGAACCACTATTGTAAGCCACCAGATGCTTCCCATGGTGTAATCCATAAAGTAGACAACGTAAATGCCCAACTGTAAAAACATAATTTAATTTTAGCAATATAAAAGCAAATTAATAAAAAAATAATAATTCTGAGTATAAGTAAGACTTATTTTTAATATCAACATAGATCCGATTCTGCTTTGTTTCGTAGCTACAGGGTGTAAAAGTCTTAATAATCTTTCGATTTATTATAATTTTCTTCCAAGTACTTTTAGTGTTTTGAATGGAATTTTTGAGGGTAAAAGTTACTATAAGTGTTACATATTTTAATGCTAAAAAAGTGTCAATAAATGCATCAGGGACGTGCATATGGGTTATTACTGGAATATTTTTCAAAAAAAAAATATGTGCGCCACTGACTTTGTCACTCGACTTGAACACCTTGTATAATCGAATCAGGATGCTGGATACGTCAAAGTTCTCAGTTTTTAAGTAAATATGGAAATATAACCACATTTCTAATTAAACCATATACAGAAACAATAATTTTCAAAATATCTAATTACTAATTAATAGAAAGACCTTTATTTGTATTATAGTTTTGTGCAACAAAATCAAAGAACCATATGATTATTCCAATTTCGAATGAAAATATTAGGATATAAGTAGAAAATCGGAATATAGAAAGGGTAAGAATATTTAGATACTTGAGATGTTGGCTAAATAATAAAATGGGATCCTGATAAAGAAATTAAACATAAAATTGCAATAGTCACAAACATATGTTTCAAAATGTAAACCATTATGCAATGACTATATTCTGCAACCGAAACCTGAATTTGATTACTCGATAGCAGGCCGAAGGAGGCATTAGACAAGGAGACAGCCTTAGCCCCTTCTTATTCAATCTTTTAATGGATATCATCATAGAAAGGGTGACCTCGATGAATTTAAATATCGAATGGGACACAACAGCGTTAGCATAGTGTGTTACGCTGATGATGCAGCCATTATCGAGAAACAAAGAACGAAATATAATCATAAATTCTATCAAGTAAGCCGAGAATTAAATATGATTATCACTACAGAAATAACTAAATGCTTAACTTTCTCTAAAGAGCCGATAAGATGCAAACTGGTAGTAGAAAACAAAAGTATTGAGCAAGTATCACAGTTTAGATACCTAGGAATAGATATGTCGTACTACCATGATGGAGAAAAAGATTGAGAAGCCAAATAGAGCAACGGTCATGTCTTCCCCATGCGAACAGAGAGCAAAATTAAAATGTATAAGACCTGAATCAGACCAAATATGATATATGGCATAGAAATCCGAGAGGAAACAAACAAAACGTGAACAAAACCATCAACGCATATTAAGAGTCGCTGAAATGAAGAACCTAAGAATCATAATGGGGAAAACTAGAAGACACAGAATTAGAAACATAAATATTAACCTACAACAAAAAAGTCAATATTCGCAGACGTATAACGCATGAAAGAAAACAGGCTACCTCCACCTTGAAGGGAAACCCATGGGTAAGCCGGGAAGACCTCCAAAAAGATGGAAACACAATCGGCAATCCATCTCCCAAGAACTCCTATAAAGGCAACCTAACCTAAAACTAACACACCTACCTAAAACTAATAGATCGACTAGATCTCAAATAATTAGAAGGAGTAGAAGAAGATAGCAGGCCACCGAATTTTATGTACTGTTTAAAATATTGTAGAGATTCGAGGAATGAACGTTAAATGCACGAACCATGTCACACTTATATTCTTAGCAGATATGGTTGTACCGACGCAGATATCGAAGATATGCACCGAACAAGTAATAAGTGTTTAAGGACTCGAGAAGATGAATAAAGAACAATAACTATTAACTACAATAACACAACGGAAATCAGCTTATTTTGATCATATTTTTAGGAACAATAAACGTAGTTTTTATAGCTTATCGTTGGGTAAAGACCGAAGGGCGACAAGGCATCAGGCGAAAACATGAATGTGGAATTTACGTCAGTGGCTTTATATAAGAGTAGCAGTAGCACATAGTAGCATATAGAGTAACAGTAGCAGTACTATAAAAAGAAAATAAGAATATACACTGGTTCTGCGATGATTGTAACAAGAAGTGGTATGCCCAGAATGCGATCATCGATGAAAAAACTGACACTCAAGTTGTTCTACGAAAAGAGATATGTTTTCTTGAGAAAGAACTAAATTTAATGAGAAATATGTCTGAAAAGTTAGAGTATACTTGTGATCTACAGAAGAAGGTAATAAATAGTTACGAAAACCAGCTTAATAATATATCTGGCTATGTAAACAATAAGAACAATGCAAATTCCACGGAATGTGTCAACAATATTAATTCAGAATTAATTCGCGGAACAGTTCTGAACATCTCATACAATACTTGCAAACAATTTAAGTGAAAAGCAGATAGCTCGATCCGAAACATATGCAACCAGAGTAACTAGATCATCTGCGAGTGTAAACACTGTCAAGAGCAAGAGTACGTCAGAGTTGGAAAATGGCGCTCAAATGCCAGGGTCAGATGCAAAGACAGCCAAGCCAATAGTAAACAAAAGGCAGATCGGTCTCAAAGATGTTCAAGCAGGCATTTTAAGTGCTCAACAACAAAATGTAATGCAAGAAGTAGTTAATCTGGAAAATAATAGAGAATTCATTCAAAGTGGGAAACCGTTCAACGTAAACCAGGTAACCGTAAGAGAAAGTTTGTGGTAGGACGAAACGAGGCTACTACGGATATTCAGACGGTTCCTAAACATATTTCTCTCCATGTTTCTAGGCTCAAACCTAACACTAAGCCTGAAGATCTGAAGAAATATTTGATGCGAGAATTCCCAGAGGTTATTTGTGAAGCACATCAATCAAAGTATCCATAACTATATAACTCAATGAAGGTTGCCATAAATCAGGAAAATTTTAGAAAAGCCTGGAACAAAGAAATATGGCCAAACGGTGCGATAGTCTCTAAATTTTTTGCCAGGAAGAGGATGCCCTTTTGCCAGGAAGAGGATGATAGAAAATCTACAGGATCCAGGCAACCAAAATATCCAATGTCCAACTGGGAATACTGCCAGTCCTGCTGGTGCTCACCTATTTTCGGTGTATTATCAGAATGTACGTGGACTTAGAACAAAGACAGAGACCCTTCACACGAGTGTACTATCCGAAGAGTATGACGTCATAGCTTTCACAGAGACATGGTTATGTGATGGTATCCATGATTCAGAGTTGTTTGACAAAAGGTATTCAGTGATAAGAAGAGATAGAAGAAGTGGAGAACAAACTAGAGGAGGAGGTGTCCTCTTTGCAATAAAAAAGGAAATTTCTTATGAGGTAATAGACAGAAACTGTGATAATGAATGTATCCTAATTAAATTAAAACTTAAAAAGTCTATTTTATATATGTGTATTGTCTATATGAGACCTAACAGTGGTATTGATAGCTTTGAGAGATTTTTAAGTGTATTAGAGAATATTTTATCTACTTTAAATCATAAGATGTTAATTTTAGGTGATTTTAACCTGCCTTATTTTTGTTCAGGGTCTGATGATAAATGTCTCCTGATGCAACAATTTTTGAGCCTACATGATTTGAGGCAATTGAATACTGTAAATAATAGTATGGGTAGACAATTGGATTTAGTCATTTCAAATGTTGACGCGATAATTTCACGGTCAGAGTGTCCCCTGCTTACGGAGGATACATACCACCCAGCATGAGACATACAGTTATCGTTGCAGAGGGAGCGGGAAGTGAGTACGTTTGTGAGGGGCTATAAATATAATTTTACTAAGGGTAACTTCCTCCTGTTATTTAATCTTTTGAGGAATGTGACTGGTCGGATGTATTGTCTTGTCAGGATGTAAACGAGGGTGTTAATGCTTTTTATATACACATGTATAGATGTTTGGATGCCTCGATACCCAAATGCATGGTAAGGGACACTTCTCGGGTCAGAAAGTATCCTCCTTGGTTCACCTCGAACCTGGTTCGTATGACTAAAAGGAAAAACCATCTACATGCTCTAAAAGCTGGAGGTAGAGTAAGTTTGTTAGATATTAATGAATTTAGATCATTGAGGTGTGATATTAAAAAACTGACAAGATTAAATTATGCCAATTATAAAAAAACAATTAACAATAATATCAATAACGATCCCAGTACCTTCTGGTCATTCGTGCGCAACAGATCACATTGTGGGGGTGTGCCAAGGAGGATGAACTCAAATAATGTGGACTTGAGAGATGAACAGAGTATTGCCGATGCGTTTGCGCAATATTTTCAGTCTGTATTTGAACCAAATACCCCTGTACAACAATTTTGTCGTTATGGGAGCGGCTTTAGTTTCCCTCAGGTCTCCGATGATGACATTCTGTCCAGCATAAAGACCTTAAAGCCTTAAAAAACAACTGGTCCTGATAATATACTGTGAGACAATTTAAATTATATATATAAGGGATGTGCTAGTTTTCTGGTCGCCCCTCTTAAACATATTTTTAATTTAGCTCTGAAACAGGGATATTTTCCTGGCAAGCTTAAAGAAGCCACTGTAACACCTATATTTAATGTATTAGAAAGAGGGAGAATATTCACGATTATCGACCTATCAGCTTACTAAATAGCCTGGCTAAAATATTTGAGAGAATTATATATAACTACATATACTCATTCATATCTGATTGATTTTCTGAGAATTTCAAAATATCAACATGGTTTCCTGCCGGGAAGGTCAACAGTTACAAACCTATGTGTGTTCTCTGAACATGTATCGAAGGCAATATCAAACAAACAGCAACTTGATGTCATATATACTGACTGTGCAAATGCTTATGACAAGGTGAATTTTTGTGTTATGATTTAAAAACTGGCAGATCTCGGGTTATCAGGTGAGTCGCTGTGGTTTTTAACTTCATACTTAACTTCGAGAGTTCAAAGAGTTAAGATAGGTAATGTTTATTCCAATCAATATGTTGCCACCGCCGGGGTACCCCAGGGCAGTATATTGGGCGCTCTTTTGTTTTTAATCTTTATTAATGATTTGCCTGAGAGTCTGAGGGTGTCTTTGGGGCTGTTGTTTGCGGATGATTTTAAATTATTTAAACCAATTAATAATATTGATGATACTAGGGCTCTCCAAACTGATTTGAACTTGGCTCTGGACTGGTTTAAGGAGAACAAGATACTTGTTAATACTAAAAAGTGTTGTGTTGTTTCTTTTTCCCGAAGGATCAATACAGTCATTGAAGACTACTACATTGGAAATTGTAAGGTTGTGAGGTGTAGGGAAGTTAAAGACCTAGGAGTGATTTTTCAGGACAATTTTAAATTTAACAATCATTACAACTACCTGATTAACAAGGCATATAGGATTCTTGGTTTTGTTATGCGTAATAGTAAAGATTTCGATATACAATCAACTACAAGACTTTATACCTCTCTTGTAAGACCGCATCTTGAATATGCGTCAAATATCTGGTCTCCCAATTGTTACACTCACAGTAACGAGATTGAGAAGGTTCAAAAACGTTTCCTTCGTTATATTTACATTAAAAGAAACAACATGTATCCAACAATGATCTCTTACAGATCAATGTTGGAAACATTTCATTTAACTTCGCTGGCCTCTAGGAGAAGGACACATGCTGTCATCTTTATATATAACATTCTGAATAATTTAAAATATGCTGACTGTGGTCTGATTAATAGCATCAAATTTAGGGTACCAAAGATTAGGTTGAGAGTGAGTGAGTTTAATCTTTTTTATATTGAGGGTGGAAGCCCCTCGCCATTCACGTTTATGCTCACCATTTGTAATGATATGTTGTCTGGGAACACAATTCCCGATATGTTTAGCATTAAGTTTGGCGAACTTAGGCGCATCTTGTTGGTGCATCAGGAGACAAATCTGGTATGATAAGTTTCATTGTTTTTTTTATTGTACATTTTATAAATTAAATGTTATGTACTTTGTTACTTATTTACTTTATTTATTATTATATATATTTTATTTATATTATTTTTATGTACTTTTGTAGTACATAACTAGTTTTAAGTAATTGTAATTGTATTTGTTTTCTTTAGGCCTTTGCATGTAGCTACCTCAATAGGTGTTTGTAATGAGTAAATAAAATAAAATAAAAATAAAGTAGCCAGTAAAATTATCCGTTTAGCCCAAGACAGAGAGGAATTCCAGTTGATGGTCGGGATCATCCGATGAGGAAAAGAAGGATAATTATTCGAAAAACTCTATGAAAATAATTAATTTATAAAGTGACCTATCTGGAAAATATTTTTGCCAATTGTCATTGTATGTATTAAACTTGATAGAAAAAACTGTTAATCCCCAAATCAAAATATACCCAGAAAATTTCGAAATTCTGAAGTTTTCCCTATTCAAAATATACCTTGGAAAGCTTGTAATGTAGGGGAATAGACTCAAATACAATTTATTTCAGACATCTTTAGAAATGCATTAACTACGTACGTATATGTTTCACATTGTAGCTTGAAAAGTAAAAAGAAATTGAAAACTGTCATCAAATGAAACAGTGAGCTATAAAGTAATATCGGTGTATATTATATTATCGAAAAATACGTAAAAATATGAAAACCTTAGAAAGTCATGTATAATACTCAAAACATGTTAATATTTCACATATTTCTATATTTTTTACCTCGGTGACCATGGGAAGCCCTAATATAAAGCCGCAGGCGCAACTGAAGAAAGTGATCGTCGTCTCCCAGGATTTCAAAACTTTGGTTTTAATGGCCATAATTCCAGTGATGACGCAGTGCCATACTGCCAGTTGTTGTGCGATCCCGAACATGATAAATATGAAGTAAGTGAGCACAGCCCAGAAAGGAGATACTTGGTCGGCTCCCATGACGGCGAAAGTAGCTGGAAGCAGTTCCGTAGCTAAGCGAAGTACCTGCAAATAAGTATAATATATTATTTTTTAGCTATTATATATATTATCGATAAAATAGAAGTTACTTTTATATAAACAAATAACAGGAAGTTCTGGTTATATCGGGTGTTGCATTGTCGAGCGGGACATAGGAAATCCCATGTAAATTTTAATGGGGTCAATTATTGGCTTCCCTAATTATTTTAGAGAATAATTCTATTTAGGTTTATTGAAGAGCACTAAAACCCACATTCAAAAGAATAACTTTAGATATTTTTGATTAGCCCGTTTACGAGTTACCGCCGATTTCTTTTTAAATATTTCTCCATTCTTATGGCCCTGTATTTACTTATGAGCACCAGTCAAGGTAAAAGATAACTGTCAAATAAAGTTGTCATTTCAGAAATTTATCTATTTAGTGCCTTAGTGCTTTATTATTATTATTAAAAACTCATACCTACATCGAAAATATTAGCCATGAATTACACTACCGAAGAAAAATATTGATGATTAAATGGTATTATCAAGGAAATAGTTATCAAAAGGTGTCGGACATGTTTGCTGCTCTGTATCCGAATAGACCGATACCTGGAAAATCTACAATCGCAAGGAATATCGAAAGATTTGAAACCAAAAAGGTACCCTAATAAATAACTGCAGATGTGAAGCAAGGCAGGAACAACGAGAAGATGCAAGAAATGATACCGACTTGGAAGTTTTATTGTGCGTGGACGAGAACGATGGAAAGATCAGCAAAAGGAAACTTGAGGATGAAATAGGAATAGATCACACTACAGCGTTTCGAATTTTGAAACGACATAAATACTATTCCTTCAAATATAGCACCATGAGCTACGAGATGGGAACGAAATACGGCGGCAGGCGTTTTGTTTTGATATGATGGAAAGAGCAAACACGGATAGGGAATTTTTAAAAAACATATGTTTCACTGACGAATGCACGTTTACCTTAAATAATGAACCCAATGTTCAAAATTATCGATATTGGAACAAAGAAAACCAACACAGGTTGGTCGAAACAAGGACGCAATATCCACAGAATGTAAATGTTTGGGCAGGGATATTCGGACACAATATTATCGGGCCATTATTTCTTACACGATATTTAAATGCAGAATATTATTTGAAACTACTCGAAAATCATATTTTACCTGCTTTACATGATGCCCCTAGAGAAAATTAGGAAGTTTGGTACCAAATGGATGGCTGCCCGGCATATAGTACCCTGGCTGTTCGGGAATATTTAGACGATAGTTTTAACGCAAACGTTATTGGCCTAAATTATACAGTAAATTGGCCAGCAAGGTCTCCTGATATTTCGCCAAATGATTTCTTTCTCTGGGGCCATTTAAAAAACAGGATATACAAGGATAAAAAATACTCAAATCTAGACGAGTTAAAAAATACTATTTCTGCCGAATGCAATAGAATTTCAGTTTACCAACTAGCGAATGTAAGAAGAGAATTTTATGATCGCCTGGGTTATTGTCTAGCAGTCGATGGAGGAATATTTGAACATCTTCTTAAATCCTAAAGTTCTAACAATTTAATAGTACCTAGATTAATAAGTTATTGAATATTGTAATAATACTATAATTAACCTTGTAATTGATTACTATATTTTACTTTAATTCATATTAATTTGTATTTATAAATACATCTCTAAGATTTCCGATGTAGGAATGAGTTTTCAATAATAATAAATCACTAAATAGGTAAATTTCTGAAATGACAACTTCATTTGACAGTTATCTTTTACCTTGACTGGAACTCATAAGTAAATATAGGGCCATAAGAAAGGAGAAATATTTAAAAATAAATCGGCGATAACTCGTAAACGAGCTAATCAAAAATATCTAAAGTTATTCTTTGCAATGTAGGTTTTAGTGCTCTTCAATAAACCTAAATAGAATTAATCTCTAAAATAATTAGGGAAGCCAATAATTGACCCCATTAAAATTTACATGGGATTTCCTATGTCCCGTCCGACGATGCAACATCCGGTATACACTTTGGAGAAGTTCTGGCCAATAGCCATCTCAATGTGATACAAACAATTAAACTATGGTCCCTTCTAAGAAGCAGAATATATGAGAGGGGGAAGTTAATCACCGCGAGCTTATACAGGGTGTTTCAAAAAAGATGTGCCATCTCTCGTGGGGAGATTCCTCACTTAAAAATAAGATTTATTTTCCTTAGGTCCAATTCTGCTTTGTTTAGTAGCTACTAGAGGTGGTCAATATGATAAAAAAAACGGCGTCAGAGAGATGGTTATAAAATGAAGATTGCTGTCATTTTATATGTAAAATTATATGGAGAATGTCATCAATGTTCGATTCCATGGCTCTAAAAATATTAAATTGGTAATAAGAAGTCTTTAATAAATAGTACATAATACATATTATAGTAATTGCATTGATAATTTAATATTATTGGGGTGAAATTATCAATCCAATTACGCCAGTGTTATAAAGTGTTGAAAAACAAATGAAAGAAGTGTATATTTCTTGTTCTAGTCCCTTAAGTAATTATCCGACCAAATTATCGCCGATAGTGCAAGTTACGATTCTTGTTTTTATGAACCGTAAATTGTGCATGTAATTCATGGAAAAAGACAAATGAACTAATCGTAGGAGTCGATTCAATATCTGAAATTGAATCGTGTGATTCGATTCACTAAAAAGAATCGTAATGCCCATCACTACTCCGTATTGAATAGTTTTCACACGTTTTAAAAGTCCTATGAAAATATGGAAAACGTTACACTATGTCAAAAACGTTACACTTAGGTCCCAGGGACCTCACAACGTCGGTTGTGGGTTAATCATGGTTTATACGGTAGTAACATTGTTATAATTTCTGGCGTACTAATTATTTACAAAATCAATTAAACAAAGCGATAAGAAGACTATTATATAGCGTTAGAAAAAAGATGTGCATGTCATAATAGTTTATCGTTACTTAAAACTTACTTGATATCCACTCTCGTGAGTATTATCAACACCAGGCCTGACAACTTTCTCTCCCATAATAAAAGAATTGTGAACCATATAGCGAACTGGCGTGTTAAATAGACTAGGCGGTAAAGGATCTTTTACAGATCTTAAAAATTGATAAGAAGACATCCTTTCTGCAAAAAAAATATATATTTCCATTTTTAAACACATTTCTATAATATAATAACTTACCAAAAGAACTAGGATAGTAACTATAACCATAATATTTGAGTATTTGTACGCAAGTGTTGGCCAAAAAAGCCACCAGAAGCAGAACCGAGATAGTAATTACAGCTATCAGACTAGAATCTCTTTGTAGTAAATGTTTGTGTTTGTTGTGTGATGCTATTTGCATTATGGCGGCCCCCATCAGACCCCAAGTCAGAAAAACTTCTTGTGCTGCAGCCAACCAGCTCTGTAAACATAGTGAAATAATGAAAGAGAATTGTAATGTCAATTTATAGTAAACTATACCGGGTGAGTCTCAAAGGTAGCTCACTAACTCGTAGAGTAGCTATAACTCGTTTTTATTTTTTCAGATAAAAAAACGACATCTAGTATGTTAGTATATGACGTAAATTAATATTGATTGACGTATTTAATTTTTTTTTCATTTTACCTCCTGTTTCGCCGGAAATGACTATAACTTTTGATTTTTAAATGGCACCCTCTGTATTTTTTTAATTTATTCGATAGAAAATAACGCTCTCAATAGAATGATATATCATCATATTTTTTTGTTTTTCCTTTGACATATTCGCTTTAAAAAATATCGTATTTTAAATTTCAATTCAGAGTGCCATGGCTGTGTTAAAAACAATAATTTTTAACCAAAAAGCCCTGGAAAATAGATTGATCGTCTAATGTTTTAGTGTTTTATCTTTTAGTGTAACCGGTCGGTTAAAAGATGCCCAAATCACATTTTTAATCATATCTCAATTTTTCCAAATGAAACGAGGGTGGCTAATTATCCTTTTTGGAAACATCATTTTTTACGAATAATTTGGTATAACACACTTAGTATTTCGTGTCAAGTTGTCGCATGTCGTTATGAACCGCATGTTACAATTTCAAATAAACCATATGCAATAATGTCAAAAGTTGACGTATGATATGTCATTCTAGAGGAGGGAATTCAACTTCCTTGGGAGGAACTAGATCCTTAGTTCTAGTTCATCCAGCGGAATAGTTCCTGGAACTAGATTTTTAGTATTCTATTTCCTCGAGAGGAACTAGTTCCTCCAGAGGAATAGTTCGTTGAACTTGGTCTTTAGTTCACAATAGTTCCTGACTAACATTGACATCTCCGTTGCTTGCTAATGGGTTTCGTTGTCACTCAGAACTATTCACAGTATGATCTGTATAATTTTTATAATGTACGAAGTATAACGAGACGTGTAATTGCGTATGTTAAAAACATATGGTGTTAAAAACAAAGATGCCCGGTGGTGTAAAGGTACAGGCTCTCGTCTACCAATCTCAAGGTAGTGGGTTCGAATCCCACACCCGGCATTTCATCAGCCGACTATTTTTATTAAAATAAAAATAGTTTGGATACCTAGGTCGACTCGAGCCTTAAATGAGTACTTGGAATTCACAATCCTGAGGTAATAATGGGCGGTCGAAGCGTAGCGCTAGCCACATTACCTTCCTTGTATACCGAACGGCTCTAGTATAGCAAGCTGTACCTGGCCACTCCCAAGAACGCTATATACGGGAGCTATTATTATTATTAAAAACATATAGGTAAGTTTTATAGCAGATAAAAAATTAAAAAAGTAACTCATATCAGAATTTAAAAAACTATATAATGTTACGTTTTTCGTCGGTTCCGTGTGGATAGAAAGTCACAATTTATTTAAACACTATTTATTTAACACTAATTAACAAAAACAATAACGATAAAAGATTTATAGAACTATTTACAAACGATTTATAAATAAGAATTTATTTTGAATTTTAGCGCGTCAACTGCACTGGTATATTTATAACTGCCCTCTCTGGACCACAGCCGCCGGCTTTTATACCTACAGCAAAAGAAATCTATAATAGTCCATAGATCGTTAGGTGCATAGAGAAGGTTTTCGAATGTTCTCGTATGTACTACTCCATTCCAGTGGGACTCGATCCTTCTCGAATCTTCGAATGAAGCATTGCGGTGTCTATGCGATGTTAAGGTTATCCGAGGGCGGGCCATATTGTTAGGTTAGGTCGAGTCCACACCGGTCCGCAACAATAACAAATCAATTAGAGCAAATAATACGAAAAATTGCATTTTTCCTCACTTCAAGCTTTTTGTTTTTGTCTAAAAATTCAGAATATCTACTTAGTGTGTATTATAAGATATTTCTTAATTTTAGAGACCTAAAGAGAAACATTCCCATAAAATATTCAAAGAACAAATTAGAAATCAAAAACAATATCCGCGACAATATTCTGTGGTAATTACGCCGGCTGTGGCAATAGACAAGGCCGAATCCATCGTCGTCGCCTTGTATTATATCACGGATCTGCCGACTGAATAGATTCCCGTGAACTAGTCTTTTAATTAGTTCCTCTCAGTCCTCTAGGTGCTCTAGGTCCGGATCCGATAACATACGGCTGTCACTCCCCACTCCTGCCTAGCACTGGGCTACGATCGTGATGGCCGATTCGTCGCCGTCGCAAATTATTATATATCGGTCACAGGCTCGATCCCGGAATAGGTCCTGAAGAACTAGTTCTTTGAATAACCGGGAACTAGTTCCTTTCATTCCGGGGTTGGAATAGTTCATCAGAACTAGTTCGTTCACGAACTACACATTTCTATATCATTTTATTCAGAATGCCACTTTCTATCGAATAAAATAAAACAATACCGGGGGTGTTATTTAAAAATAAGAAGTTGTAGTCCTCCTAAATTATGTCAAATTCTAACATACCAAATCTCGTTTTTTTATGTGAAAAAAAAAATAAAAAAGTTATAGATGTGAGCCACTTTTGAGACGCACCCGGTATATTAATCAAATATGGGATTATCCATGTAGTATATACTTACGCGTGAATTGAGAAAAAATTCGCTCCACGAGGTTTCGGGAAAAATCGTATTTACAAACTCCGCGGGCATCAGTCCAAGAATTTTAGCGCATAAGACAAAAGTGCCGAAAACTGGAAGAAGCGTGAACACATAGACAACCTGAAACAAAACTATCGTTAGCATTCATCATTCCAACATAATTGTTACCTAGGAGGTCCACAATAAGCTTATAATATAGTATTAATTATACAGGGTGGTCCGAACTGTATAAACCGGCAGCATAATCTGCAGATAAAAATAAGTAAAAAAGTTCGCATAAATTTATGTTCTAAAATGCTTAGTTTCGGAGATCCATTGTAGAAGTTCCATTTTTATTTCGATTTGTTTACCGAAATTATAAATTTGGGAACTTTTTATTTTTTTAAATTAATTATAATTTTTTCTAAAAATGATAATAATACCGTCTCTGTTGAACTTTTGGCACTAAAACATTTTAAATTTATTATTTCAGTCTGATAACTATTTAGTCAACATGTTTAATTTATGTCAATGATGACAAGTATTGATAATTTCGATTCTAAATATCTCGAGAACCATTACTCGTGGCGGCGATTTTTACCAAGAGAGTTTCTTTTACGTAAAAAACGTCGTAAATGCATATTTTTTTACTCAGTTGTTTTATACAGGTCCGGACAAAAAGTTATTACTCTTCGAACCAGTTAAATAAAAATTATAGGTATAAAAAAATATCTAGGTGGCACTCTCTACAAGTAGGAGTCATATTGACACTAAAATCAAAGTGTTCATGTCAATAAACTCCCAGACATCAATTCGAAAAGTTATCTGAAAAAAGTCGAAATAATAATGAAAATAATGAGTTTTACACCCGGTATCTCCGAAACTAAGTTTTTAGGGCATACATTTATACTTATACTATTATATAATTATATAATAACTATATAATATACTTTTTATTTATTTTTATTTGCAAAGTATGCTACCGAAGCTTCCTGAATACAGTTCGGATCACCCTGTATATCTAGTTAACAACCACCCAACGTAATGACAAAAATTACATTTAACCAAGCGTGCAACCGAATTACTTAGTTCTTCAATGGTATTGTTAAAAATTGATGCAAGTTTACTAATGAACTTTATAAATTGCACTAGTCGCACCAGTGGTACACTGAATTACCAATTGTATCCGAAAGTAAATCTGATATGGATACTGAACAAAAGCCCTTTTGATACACTTACTTTTCCATAAGATCTCAGTCCTTTACTAAGAGATACGAAAACAATCATCCAGACCACCGCTAAGTTGAAAGCCAGCTGGAATTTGATGGTTCCATAAGCCGTTCCAGTGGGCAGATGGTATCTTTGCAAAACGATTCCATTGAAGTAGTCCGGAATAGTTTCTTGTAATTTATAGGTCCCATTCTGAGATAAATGTGATTCTGTAAACAAATAAATAAAGAAAAAATAAACTTAAATTTAGGTACTTAAAGAATTAATATACAGCATAGCAACTTTCTTCTCTTTCTTCTAATTTAGGAATTTGTGTAATAATACAAATTGCTAAATTAGTATAATATTTTCCATAGTTTTAGGATTAACCTTTAATACTTATTAAAGATGCTATTAATTCAAACAAAGTCCTCTAAATGTCTTAAAGATAAATATGTTAATATATCCATTAATTGATGGATAAAAAAATTATTAAGCAAAAAATATTTGTACGAAGCGGCACTTTATCGGATGTCCAATGTCCAAAGTTGGCCAAAGGATGTTACTGTGGGCCAAATTAAATTGGAACCTTTTTTAATGCCTAATAATTTTTTAATTTTTAAATGTTTTTTTATAATTTTTTGGATATATTATGGCCTACGATATTAGAATAAAAAAACTTTGCAAAGCGGGTCTACTTCAGTAGCATACAGACTTTTTGAATTAACGTAAAACTATTAAAATAAAAAAATACATTTTAATGTACGCCACTGAAGTAGAGTAGCTTTTATCATTGTTGCTTTGACTGTTTTTATCTGTAGTAGTCTTTGAATAAGAAGACTAAGGAAGGAGCATAATGCTATCCATGTATTCATGCATGGTGGGCGAAAAAAGGACTCTAGGGTGGGGATCCTTGACAGTTCTGTTTGACGATTTATTTGACACATTTGAATTTGTTTTTAAATTTTGCGGATTTGTCAGTCTTTACGGAGCTTTTTTTATGTTATTTTTTATTTATTCTACTACTGATAGTTGTATAAAGGTAGTAAATCTAGATGGAAATTGTGGCAGAACTTAAATTAACAGTGACACTATCGCGATTTATTGAAAAAGACTCTAAAATAGTTGGTTGTGTAGCGTGCGGTAGATCTCGGCAAAAATCGAGTGAAATAATGGAACAACTTTTCGCTAGTAAGTGAATATATAATATACATACGTGTAGTAAACCGATCATTTATGAAATTCACTTAAATTAACTAATTATATATTTTTTCTTACATTTTTGCTTTTATTTACTACTTGTCACAGATTAGATGTCAAAGAATTTAGATTCGTCAATTTGACTTACCTGCTTCAGTAGCGTATCGGATGTTTATGGTTATAAATAATTATTATAACTTATCTATTTTTATTAGAATTTTATATTTTTATAACAATTTTAATAACTACCAACATTTATTCATAACGTAAAATAAAAAAAAATATTGAGTCTACCCCACGTCTGCCCTACATCATAGTTTTACATTTTTTAAATAAAATTAGAACGGCACTGATAAACCGGAATTTAAGTCGGCCATATTTGAGGCCCATTGCGGTGGACCTAAGATTTTTGATATGCTCCTTCCTTAGTCTTCTTATTCAAAGGTAGTAGTATTATCATCGTCACTACTGTCAAAGTCACTAATTAAACTTCTACGTCCAGGCGTCTGAGGTGGTAGGTATTCTGAACCAGATTCAATTACGAATGGCTCAGATTTGCTGCAACGAACCATCACAATATGTCTTATATCATATCTTATAGTTTGAATAGATTTTTATCTGTATTGTAAAATGTGTGATTGAACCATTAGACACTACAATATTTTAACTCCTTTTTATATAATACCTATCCTTTATTGGTTATTTTCTTTGTTCCCAGAGTAGTTACGAACCAGTCAGCGACAATCAGATGTAAGAAAATAAGTTTTTATACTGATTTCTGGTATATTCAAATTTTCCGCCAGGTTTAGCTCATTTTTGGCACACTAGACGGCGCCACTTTTAATTTGAAACTAAAAAATACACGGGAGTTAGCGTTCTTCTTTAGTATGTTCTGTAATTCACAAATAAGTTTTGAAATAAACACTTTGTTAACACAAAAATTGTTAAAATGCGATTCTATTGAAGCCAAATATTATCAGTATAACTAATCTAGATTATATGGACAAATTAAATATATTTTGCAATTAAAGCTAACTAAAAATAACATTAACAGAAAATAAAATATACCTTCTAAGATATAAAATAAATAAGAAAGCAGTTTTAAATTCGCGCACATAAGTTAATAGCTACTTTTTCTTTCGTATCGTGATCATATGCTTCCAATTAGCGGTAAGCGGATATGATGCTAAAAATGAGATAATAAAACTAATAAGTTTCGAATAAAAAATTAGGTAAAGGTCGACGGGCGTCGTCGGTCTACCGAGCAGCGAACAATCGTAGAAAGTGCGAAATTGAGTCATGATATTATTTTGACAAAATTAACGGGAAACTGAGTTATATGTTTATAGTACACATTTTAGTGTAATTAGAAAGTACACGGAAAAAAAAGAAATACTGAAAATATAGATAAGTAGGGTTTTTAACAATATTTATTGGAAACAAAGATTGAAAAATTACAATTTTTCCGATTGGAGATTATTTTCCCACTAATGTCTGACATCGAAGTCTATTATAGGTACGAGAAGATACAAAAAATGTTATTTCGATAAATGTTTTTTGGAATCATTTTGTTTTTTTTTACCTTTTCTGTAATACGCAAACGGCTCTGCCCATCTGTACTTATCCACCGTCGTTATGAACGAATCCCTAAAGAACACGAACATCCACGACACCCCTATGATACTGTACAGCCCGGTGAGCGCCTGTGCAATCAGCAACGACACCCCCACTCCCTGGAACAGCGGCGATATCCGCCACATGTCAACCACCCCCGCACCCAATTGCTGACCGAGGCAGAGCTGCAGGGTGAACAGTGGCAGGCCGAAAGCCACGGTCAGCAAAATGAACTGGAAGATGAAGTTGGCGCCGAAGTGGATGGACAAGATGGCGAAGCGGGAGATGTTGAAGAGGCCCAGGGTGCAGCCGAGACAGGCCATCATCGAGCTGAGACTGTGCGGCCATTTGCCCAGCGGACTGTCCGACTCGGGCATCTCGGTGGAGCGTTGGCGGTCACATGGCCTGAAACAAAGAAGGAGATATAATGTAAAAGGTTTATGAGGAGAAATTTCTATACAGGGTGCTACAAATTTGGAGTACGAGCATTGGTATCCGTTAACCGATACGAACATGGTTAAATTGGAGCAAAGTTGCGCTTTATGATGTTCACCAAGATGTCTTTAAAAAAGGTTTAAAAATTTTAGTTTTGGAAAAAACATTTTTTTTTGAAAATCAATTTTATTTTTTCCCGTCGTTACGTTTTAGAAAATCAAAAAACTAATTGCACATTCTCATAGCTACTTTATTAGAGCTATCTGAGAGTATTGTTAGATTTTCAAATTAGCTGATAAATGAGGCCAACTAATTTTTTAAAATACGGACCTGCATTTTTTATTTCAGGTTTTGAAAGAACTCGGTCTCCCGAGTGCAATGATATACTTTATACTTTTTTTTTGTTTTGAGTACCTTAACAATAAGAAAGCTATTTAATTATTATTTAAATTAATTTCCGATTCTGGATTTTTAAAATATTTAATCTGATTATATTTATCGCAACAATATTCATCAGCGCTAATTAACATTGAACAAGGAAAATCAAGCCAATTGAAAGATTCAAATAAATAATATCCAGGTCAACAATTTAAAGATATTATTTTTATTTTCTTTATTGTGAATTTGAAATGTCAGTGTACGATCTAATAATATGCATCATACTAATCGTAGTAGATGAATCAACTTCTACAAACTACTTTCTAATGCTCTACATGTTCGTAAGGGTTCGTTGTCACCCTCCCTAATGCACAAATTTATTTTTCGTTCAATTTTATTCATTTACCAAATGACGTCAAGTAATGCCCCTTGGCGGCAGGTCCAGCAACCTCTCTGGTCATTGTACTGCTCTATCATTTCCAATTCGTCTTCCGGGGAAATGATTTGGTTGTTTATATTATATTATATAATATTATATTTATATTATTTATCATTTTATTGCATTTGATTTTCCGTATTAAATGTTTTACCCCACGTCATTGTTAAGTTTGAAAGGTAATCAATATTGTAACGATGATTAGATTAAAATAAAATATTTAAAAAAAACAAGGCCAAACTTGAAATTAGTTTGAATAAATTGTTCAAATGTCCGAAACAAAAAAAGTGTGGCGTATCATCGTACTCAGGAGACCGAGTTCTTTCAAAACCTGAAATAAAAAATGTTGGTCCGTATTTAAAAAAATTAAGTTGGCTTCTGTATCTCACAAATTATCAGCTAATTTAAAAATCTAAAAATACTATCATATATTCCTAGTAAAGTGGCTGAATGTGCAATTAGATTTTTGGTTTTCTAAAATGTAACGACAGGAAAAAATAAAACTGATTGTCAAAAAATCCGTTTTGTCCAAAAAACTCAGCAACTCTTGAAATTTTTAAAACTTTCTTGATGGCATCTTGGTGAACATCCCAAAGCGGCATCATTGCCCCAATTTAACCATGTTCGTATCTATTACGGTCACCTATGATAGCAATGGTCGTACCTCGAATTTGTAGCACCCTGTATATGTAATTTCAAAATCCTTTTGGCGTAACTAGAGATATTTATTTAAAGCTCTTTTTTAGTTCTTCTACAAATCCTAAAATTACGCTATTAACGTCGTCAAATCAATCTCTAAAAACCTAAACGTTTCATTTAAATTTCTCCTGTATACAGTGGTTGTTCACTATATATGACACGGAGTATTGTATTGTTTTCACATTTTCGATAAGTTGTAAGATGCCGAGACACGAATTGTGTCAAAAAATGCATCAATCTCAAATTCGCCCTGTATTTCAGGAACTAAGACGGCTATAACAAATTTGTGTTTAGCATCTTTAGTTTCATAAAAAAGTAGCATAGTTATGTTAAACCGCATCTTTGTATCTATACTCATAAACGAGAAACCCCATAGAATGGGACACACCGTACATACAAAATATTCAAATAAATATACCACATAAAATAAGAAACGAACGACACAATGGATAAATATTTATTAAGGCTGTTAACTGTATATACAGGGTGACAATTTGAAAACTAACAGTATTTAATATTACCTCTACCGATGATACTATGAAAATTACACAACGTCAATTTACATATCAAGGGGGACAATTTTTGAGGCATTTGTTGTCGTGTTACTTTCAACCCTTTGGCCCCCAGGGCACCTACCCCTAAAATTTTAAATGGCAAACCCTATTTCTTTTACCATTTTTGTGTTCCTTATAAAATTCCCAAAAAAATAATGCAGTTTATATAGAATTCTATAAGAAACACAAAAATGGTAAAAGAAATAGGGGTTGCTATTTAAAATTCTAGGGGTAGGTGCGCTGGGGGTCAAGGGGTTGAAAGTAACACGATAACAAATACCTCAAAAATGGTCCCCCTTGATATGTAAATTGACGTGTTTCGCCAAATTTTCATACTATCATCGGTAGAGGCAATATTAAATACTATTCGTTTTCAAATTGTCACCCTGTATATTATCGTGTAGCGGATTTAACCGCCTTTGTGCAGAAATAGGCTCGTAGTGAGACAACATAAAAAACACGTTAACATCAATAGGAGTAATTAAGAACATTAATACTATCATTTAACACTACGTAATAAAATTTATATGTAAGATGAAAGACATCTTTACTGTTTTGCGGTAAATTCTATTATTATCTGTTTATATATGTACTGTTGTCCAACATAACAGTAGTTCTAAAGAGGATATAGTATAGGCACCGATTAACTTACAGATGTGGCACTTAATTCATCTTGGTAACAAACGCCGCCGTGACCTCGGACCATTAATAGGGCTATAGCGTTGTCAGACTTCGTTTTTTTTTCTCGAATGCATTGTTGCCTTTTGTAAAAAATGTATTCCCAGTTGAAATAATACTTAATCTATGCACAGCGTTTTTGGTATAGTCTATAAAATGAATAACTTTGAATTTTGACCGTTATTTTTTACCAACATGGCAAATATAAAATCCCTCTATCAAAAAAGTTACTGATATTCTTTAAATTGACTGCCAGAACGAATCAGATAGGTAACTCTTTTTACTTTCGTGAAATAGAAAAGGAAAATAATAAAACAAGTGACAGTTCTTCCTCATCTTGCAAAAATCAACACGAAATGTCATAATTGCCAAAAGTAAAATGTCATCAGCTTTGGACATTTCTAAATATCAAACCAATGCCGTCTCTAATAGAACAGCCTGGGAGCGAGATTTATGACGTCACGCTAGTTAGATACTAAGGATTAATAAATATGTTGTAAAATACCTTAATTATTCCTCGTATTTTTGGTTTGTATTTTAAAAATGATATAGTTTACAAAAAATATACATAATATACAGTTAATAAATACAATATATATATATATATATATATATATATATATATATATATATATATATATATATATATATATATATACCTATTTATAGTAATAAATACTTTGGCAAATAAACTATAAACCATACAAATGCAGCAAATGTTTTACAATATACCAATAATGAATAGGTACATAAGATAATGGGTAAAATGCAAAATATATTTTTAATTTTGGGGTTTGAAAATCGATCTAATTTAACAAAATAACAAAAATCGTTCAATATCTACTAATAGTGATGTATTATTATTTGCATTCTCAAAATTTATATGTATATTTTGCAAGTATCAATGTTCGAGAAATTATATTTGCAAATAATACAATATCATAGAAAAAAAGGCGTCAGCGATGGCTATAAAATAAAGATCGCTGTCATTTTATATGTAAAATTATTCTAACATTTTTGATTTTCTTGGGATTTAGGTTAGGATGGAGTACGATTTCAGCCATAGTCAATTTAGATAGTTTTAGTGTTAAGAATAATAATTTTAAAAAATAAACAAAATATTAAAAATAAACGAAAACAATAAATAATAATAAATTAATATTATTTAATATTATTAAACAAGTTATTAACTATATATTATGTATATTTCATGTAAACTACATATATCATTTTTAAAATACAAACCAAAGATACGAGGAATATATGATTTTCCATGTATTCTACAACATATTTATTAAACCGTAGTATCTAACTAGCGTGACGTCATAAATCTCGCTCCGAGGCTGTTCTATTAGAGACGGCATTGCGTCAGCATGGCCGCAAGTTGCTAACCTAATAAAATTAACACTAGAAAAGCCCGCGAGAACTGTCAAATTCAAAATTATTCGTTTCACAGACTATAGCATGCGTTTTGTATTCGGTCCGTTTAAATGGGATATTTAAAGGGACCTAAAATGCATCCTTTGCTTTTCATTTAGTTTCTTTGTCTTACTGATAAATCTATGTTAATCTGTGGTATACAGGGTGGTCCGAACTGTATTTCGAAAACTTCGGCAGATAAAAATAAGTAAAAATATTCATATAAATGTATGTCCTAAAATGCTTAGTTTCGGAGACACAGCGTGTAGGAATTTCATATTTATTTAGATTTCTTTCAACTTATTTTTATCTGCAGAATATGCTGCCGAAGTTTCCGGAGGCTACACCATAATTGGAAATGGTTGAATAAGCTGAAAATGATTAAACTGGTATAGAAAAAAGACCGTGATTTTTTCCTAGATAAATGCAGGTATTTCTGTTATCTGTCTCACCTCGTATCGTAACCAGGACGTAACGCCGTAAAACATCCTTCATTTTGAGCCCAGATTAACTGCGAGATAACTCGCTACACCTTTCGAATGAAATACGATGCGTCCGAACTAGTTTAAGACCCAAATAAACAAGACAAATTGCATATATTTTTGCGATTTGAAGAAGTGGGTTATCGGCGCGCAACGTATTCCACAAACAAATAAATCAAACTCGGTTCTTTCGCGCTCGGAACCAACGCCACTAGTCGCACAGCGCATCGGAACCTTAGAGAAATAAAGAAAGGTAGAGGAGCATTAATATACACGGTGTGTGATTTTTAAATAGATTGAAAATTGTATGGGAGTTAATAACCG